TTTTGCAATCTACCCATCTGACAAAGGGCTAATATCCAGAATCTGCAAAGAACTAAAACATATTTCTAATAAAACAAACAAACCCATTCAAAAGTGGTTGAAGGACATGAACAGACACTTTTCAAAAGAAGACATACATTAGGCCAACAAACATATGATAAAATGCTCATCATCAGGGGTCATTAGAGAAATGAAAATCAAAACTTCACTGAGATACCATCTCATGCCAGTTAGAATGGCGATCACTAAAAAATCCGGAGACAGATGCTGGAGAGGATGTGGAGAAATAGGAACACTTTTACACTGTGGGTGGGAGGGTGAATTAGTTCAACCACTGTGGAAGACAGTGTGGCGATTCCTCAAGGACCTAGAAATAGAAATTCCATTTGACTCAGCAATCCCATTACTGGGTATATATCCAAAGGATCATAAATTGTTCTATTATAAGGAAACATGCACACGAATGTTCACTGCGGCATTGTTTATAATAGCAAAGACTTGGAACCAACCCAAATGACCATCGATGATAGACTGGACAGAGTATACACCATGGACTACTATGCAGCCATAAAAATGATGAGTTCATGTTCTTTGTAGGGACATGGATGAATCTGGAAACCATCATTCTCAGCAAACTGACACAAGAACAGAAAATCAAACACCACATGTTCTCACTCACAGGCAGGTGTTGAACAATGAGAACACACGGACACAGGGAGGGGAGCATCACACACTGAGGTCTGTAGAGGGGAACTAAGGGAGGGACAGCAGAGGGTGGGGGTTTGGGAGGGATAACATGGGCAGAGATGCCAGATATAGGTGATAAGGAGGAAGGCAACAAACCACATTGCCATTATGTACCTATGCGACAATCCTGCATGTTCTTCACATGTACCCCAAAACCTAAAACGCAATGAAATATATAAAAAAAAAAAAACTATCATTAGAGTCAACCAGCAACCAACAGAATGGGAAAAAATTTTTGCAATCTACCCATCTGACAAAGGGCTAATATTTAGGATCTACAAAGAACTTAAACAAATTTACAAGAAAATAACAACCCCATCAAAAAGTGGGCAAAGGATATAAACAAACACTTTCCAAAAGAGGACATTTATGCAGCCAACAAACATATGAAAGAAAAGCTCATCATCACTGGTCATTAGAGAAATGCAGATTGAAACCACATTGAGATACCACCTCATACCAGTTAGAATGGTGGTCATTAAAAAATCTGGAGACTAGAGATGCTGGAGAGGATGTATGGAAATGGGAATGCTTTTACACTGTTGGTGGGAGTGTAAATTAGTTCAACCATTGTGGAAGACAGTGTGGTAATTCCTCAAGGATCTAGAAATAGAAATACCATTTGACCCAGCAATGCCATTACAGGGTATATACCCTAAGGATTATAAATCATTCTATTATAAAGGCACATGCATACGTATATTTATTGTGGCAATGTTCACAATAGCAAAGGCTTGGAACTAACCCAAATGCCTATCAATGATAGACTGGATAAAGAAAATGTGTCACATATACACCTTGGAATACTATGCAGCCATAAAAAGGATGAGTTCATGCCCTTTGCAGGGTCATGGATGAAGCTGGAAACCATTTTTCTCAGCAAACTGACACAAAAACAGAAAACCAAACACTGCATGTTCTCACTCATAAGTGGGAGCTGAACGATGATAACACATGGACACAGGGAGGGGAACATCATACAACAGGGCCTGTTGTGGGGAGGGGGCTGGGGTAGGAATAGCAGAGGAGTGGGGGCTAGGGGAGGGACAGCATTAGGAGAAATACCTAATGTAGATGATGGGGTGATGGATGGATGCAGCCAACCACCATGGCATGTGTATACCTATGTAACAAGCCTGCACGTTCTGCGCATGTGCCCTAGAACTTAAAGTATGATACAAAAAAAAAATTTTTAATTGCAGTAAGATATGTATTACATTAAATTTGCCATTTTAACAATTTTTAAGCATATAATTCTGGGCATTAATTACACTCACAATATAATCCAACCATCACCACCATCTTTTTCCAAAACTTTTTCATCACCCCAGAGCAGTAATTCCCTATTCTCCCTCTTCTCTGAGTCCCAATAACCTCTAACCTACTTTCTGTCTTCATGAATTTTTCTTTTTTCCTTTGGAGACAGGGTTTTGTGCTGTTGTCCAGCTTGGCATGCAGTGGCACAAGTATAGCTCACTGCAGCCTTGACTTCCTGGACTCAAGTGATCCTCCCACCTCAACCTCTCAAGTAGCTGAGGCTACAGGAATGTGCCATCATGCCTGGCTAATTTTAAAAAATTTTTTGCAAAGATGAGATCTCTGCATGTTGCCCAGAGTTGTCTTGAAATCCTGCACTGAAGCAATCCTTTCTCCTCAGCCTCCCAAAGTGCTACTATTAAAGTGTTTGCCACCATGCCTGGGAGAATCTGCCTATTTTAGATGTCTCATGTAAGCGAATCCTATAGCATTTGTTTTTCCGTATTTGTCTTATTTCATTCTGCAAAACATTTTCAAGTTTCACCTATGCTGCAGCATTTTTAAGTAGAGAAGTGATTTAGAGCCAGCAACATCCCAGAAAGACAGTGTTAGAAGGTGCATATGGGTGAGGTGTTGAGTATCTCATTCCAGTTGCTTCGGCACCTTGCTGGCTTGTTTAGTATTGTGGAGAGCCTTTATTACTTCAGGGGCTGGAAACCTAAACATATTACAAGTGTGTCACCAAATTTTGATCAATATCTACAACTTACCCTATGACTGAGGGCATGCATGGTTTATAGTGAAACCCGTTGGATGTTGATATCTGATATAATGGCATGGCAAAACATGGGATACAATTGCTGGGAGAAAGGAGAGGAGTCACAAACATCAACTTGGAAAACAAGCCAAGAGCGGGTAATTGTGGCTGCTTTTAGAGGTGAGCATCATTGTGCTGCAGCAGTGGCCACATGGTAATTATTTCTGGTTTGTAAATACTGTTTAGTGGCTGCCAAAAATGCTAGAATTGGAGAGCATGCCACATATACAAAAAGTTTAAGAACATATATATTGGCCGGGTGCGGTGGCTCACGCCTGTAATCCCAGCACTTTGGGAGACTGAGGCAGGCAGATTACGAGGTCAAGAGATCAAGACCAGCCTGGCCAACATGGCGAAACCCTGTTGCTACTAAAAATGTGAAAATTAGCTGGGCATGGTGGGGTGGGCCTGTAGTCCCAGCTACTCGGGAGGGAGGCCGAGGTAGGAGAATCACTTGAACCCAGGGAGCACCAGGGGACAGAGCGAGACTCCACCTCAAAAAAAAAAAAAAAAAAAAAAAAAGGACAAAGAACAAATATACCTAGATTCATAACATGCTCACATTTAATTTATAAAAAGTCAACTCTACATGCTAGAGAGAGCCAGAAAAAGAGAAAGAAAATAACCAAGTTGTGCAAGTGATCCTGGTTGCCATTTCACTCAACGAGCTTATGTCTCAGAGTTGGTGTGATCTGAGAAATACACATGGATTTTCATAATTTCCATTGTGTGATGTTGCACAAGAGCATGAGTCTAGGGTTTAAAAATACGTACCTTTCATACAACATGGTCACGAAAGAGAATCTACTACTTCATCTAGGCTCAAATAAAGAAGAATCAGTGTATTCCAAAGTCAGTTGTATTGGACTTACTAAAAGAGGGCATATCACTTTTTAATGCAGAACATCTCTAATAAATTTTGTGGCACAATTTTGACCAGACCTTAGGGACTGCCTTTAGCACCTAACTGCTCCTCTGATTCTAGATTTGTCTTCATTGTAGAAGACAACGGAAAAGCAACAGCATCCTTCAAGTTTTCCTGTATATCATCTGCAGTGCTACTGAAATTTAGGAGTTGCAAATAGGAGAAACCAACTAAAGCTAGCTGAAGCTTATAGAAAAGATATTGGTTGGGGGTATTTTATAAAAATCTGTTTTTGTACATATAGGTGCAAGGATGCAAAGGAAGCAATGGATGCCTTCTAAGAAGATGGTAGACTTTCCTTTAAGTGAGCCTCAAGCTGCAATTGCATATGAATCACCTGTTGACCTTGTTAAACAATCACATCATTATTCAATAGATCTGGGATTGAGTATCATGTAACAAGCCCCCAGGTGTTAACAAGCCATGGCAGGTCAGTGACACCACTGACCCTGATAGCAATTTGCAAAAGTAGTGAGATTCAAATGCTGCTATTTTGTTACCACCCAGTCTCTGAAGCTTTCACTTCCCAATTTCAGATTTCCAAGAAGGGACCTGATGCCCTAGCCTGGGTCAGGCATCTGCCACTCCTAGATCCATCCATGACATCCAGGGGTGTCAGGTTATGAAAGAGCAAAATCACCACCACCAGCACTAGCATGTAATGAATGCGAACCACTGGTCCGTCCATGTGCTATGCATCTCATACATACTACCTCCTTTAATCTGCAAGTCAACCCTTTAAAGAAAGGGCAGAAAACTGCAGTTTAGAGAAGCCCAGTGGTTAATGAGTGAAAGAGCTGGGCTTTGGCAACACAGCCTGATTCTAGAGCTCCTGAGCTCTACCAACTTCAAGATTTGGCCAGGAGAGTAGGGTCCCTTGGGTTTGTGGGAGGCTAAGAGGAAGAGGAATCATTGTCACCTGGGCAGTTGGCCCCTAGATTTACTATATAGCCACTTCATTAGTATTTGTGAACAAATAAAGGTAGGGACAAGTTAGATTACTGAAATTTTATGGCTTCCCCAATAAATAATACCCCTCTTTCCACCCAAGTTCAGAAAAAGGACACAGATGTCACGTAGGAGTCTGAAGTAGATATAGCGTGAAAAGCAGACAAAAGCAAGGTCTGTGGGACAGTTTAGAAGCTGGCTCCTTGCTAGCATGCCCTGTGCCTTGCCTATACTCGAGACCTGCTGAGTCAGGATCTCCACGTTCCCAGGGACCCCAGGTGAAGCGTTAGGATTCACCAACATTACCTGGAATTTCACAAGGAGCTCTAGACGATGGCAGGGCTCTCTCAGCATTCTTGCTGGCAGAAACCACCAAGCTCAGTTTACTGCAGGGCTGGGGAGCTGACCAAAACACGCCCTCTCTGCAACTAAACAGATTGAAAGAGGCGGAAGAGGATTGTCTGATGACGGGAAGGGGCGGGGAGAGGCCAGAGTGAGCTCTGCTGTTCTCATGCCTCATGGTGCATATTATTATAGTATCACCTAGGAACCAAAATAATAATAATAAATCAACAATTGCATTCACCCTCAGATATTATTATTATTTATTATTTTGAGACAGGGTCTCACTCTGTTGCTCAGGCTGAAGTGCAGTGGCACAATCATGGCTCACTGCAGCCTTGACCTCCTGGTCTCAAGCTATCCTTCCACCTCAGCCTCTGGAGTAGCTGGGACTACAGGCATGCACCACCATGCCAGGCTAATTTTTTTTTTTTCCCCAGAGATAGGGTTTCTTCCATGTTGCCCAGGCTGGTCTCAAAGTTCTGCCCTCAAGCAATCCTCCCTCCTTGGCTTCCTAAAATGCTGGGAGTTCAGGTGTGAGCCACCACACCTGGCCTGGATATTCGTATTTAGTTGGCACATTGTAGGGGTGGGCCAATTACAATATGTCTTTTTAAAAAACCTTATTAGATGGATATAACACACTGGTCTAGCTTTAGTCCCTCTGTGGAGATGGAAGAAGTGGGAACTGAGTGTTCCCTTTTTTCTTTTTCTTTCTTTTTTGTTTTTTTAGTGTTCTTTTTAACAATTACTCTCCCACTTCAATGTGGTGTCAGGGAAAGGTATCAGAGTTCAGAGCAGGGCTTCTCAGGCTTTAATGCACCTAGGCATCAGCTGAGGATCCTGTGCAGGCATAGATTGTGATTTACTCCTGGCTGGGGAATGGAACACTGCCTTTCTAAGCAGCTCCTGGGAGTGATCATCTCAGGTGATCCTCCCACCTTGGCCTCCCAAAGTGCTGGGATTATAGGCATGAGACACTGTGCCCGGCCCATGCCTAAACTTTTTAAACTAGAGAAGGAAAACTGATCTTCATTAGTTAGATGTCTGGATAATGCAGACTGACCACTGTGTTAAAACATAGAACATGGTGAAAAGCACTATTATATATGGTTCGTTGATAGCTCCACCTCGGTAATTTAGCTAAGCCTTAATTAAGATACTCTGTTAACCACAAAGGCGGGAGTTGGTGTCAGGTCAAAAATCAGACCCAACTATGACTCTGTGGTTGATGGTTCAGAGAATGCTTGACAACAAAGTGAACTGAGAATGCAGTATGACAATGTCTAACATTTAATTCAGGGAAAATGTCATCGCCAGCACAGCTTAGCATTAACTGGGCATTTAAAATTTTTATTTGCTCACCTGGCAAATCTAAATACAGCACTGGTAAAATTACACCCTGGGATAGAAAAACTGTAGCCTAAGTCACTTGAGGAAAGAGAGGTATGTGTGAGAAAGAAGGGGGAAAGAATGAGCTTTACAATCATTCCGATCTGGTTGATTTCTGACCCGCTACTTTATCATGTGACCTTGGGCAGTGTGTCTGATCTGTTCCTCCAGGTTTCCTTTCTCCCTCCCATCTGTAAAACTGGCATCTGTTTTACAGATGGGAGAAAGATGTCTTCTCTGGTTATTTAAGATGAACTGTTAATGCAATGTAGTTCTGAGTCATATTGCAGTCTGAAGCAAAAGGAAAAGTAATACTGAGCTTGTATTTATATAAAATTTTGGCTTTTTCAATTTTATTTTTTTTATTTATTTTTGAAACAAGGTCTGGCTCTATCACCCAGGCTGGAGTTCAGTGGCACAATCTCAGCTCACTGCAGCTTCAGCCTCCCAGGCTCAAGTGACCCTCCCACCAGCATCCTGAATTGCTGGGATCACAGGTGCACATCAGCACGCCCAGCTAAATTTTGTATTTTTTTGGTAGACACAGGGTTTCACCATGTTGCCCAGGCTGGTCTCAAATTCCTAGACTCAAGCAATCCACTCACCTCAGCCTCCCAAAGTGCTGGGATTATAGGTGTGAGCTACTGTGCCGGGTTGACATTTTTTTTTAAATCATGGTAAAATATTGCATGAAGTTTGATATTTTTCAAAAGACTGCATTGAAATATTATTTATCTTGTCAATCAGGGTTTTGGGTGCACTCTTTTTTTTTTAAATTTTTTATTGGATTTTAGGTTTTGGGGTACATGAGCAGAGCATGCAAGACAGTTGCGTAGGTACACACATGGCAGTGTGCTTTGCTTTCCTTCTCCCCTTCACCCACATTTGGCATTTCTCCCCAGGCTATCCCTCCCCACCACCCCCTCCCACTGGCCCTCCCCTTTTCCCCCCAATAGACCCCAGTGTTTAGTATTCCCCTTTCTGTGTCCATGTGTTCTCATTTTTCATCACCCGCCTATAAGTGAGAATATGCGGTGTTTCATTTTCTGTTCTTGTGTCAATTTCCACGTGAGCAGGTACCTCACTCATTTAACCCAAGCCTGGCCTTGGCACTCAATCTCTGTTAAATATTAATATTTCATGTTTGTTTTAAATTTAATATTTAAACAATGTTAAATGTTATTTATCCTCTTATGTGCCACTTCCTTGAGTATCCCATTAGAAACAATAATGACAACAAACATTTATAAGGGCTCACTTTGTCCCAGGCACTGTGCTAAGCCCCAGGAAGAACATCATTTTATTGAATCCTTAACATTCTATGAGATTGCTACAATTATTTCCATTTTATAAAAAGTGATATTTTTAAAAAAGTTAAACTACTTCCTTGAGAAGACAAAGCTAGTAGGTGGAGTTGTTGGGCATTAGAAATTAAGTTTTGTTTGTTTGTTTTCTGCAGGGCGACTGAAACTTGTTTGTCCACCTGGTGGGACTCTGCAAATCCTGCCTACAATAACCCAGGCAAACCTCTAGGTGTCCTCATTGACCAAGCTCCAGAATTGCAGGCCAGAGAAAACTATTTTTAGAAAAGGTTTTCTCAAATAGTTGTGTGACATGGGAGTGCACACTTATGAAAAATATAGCAGTGTCAAGTGTCTGTGTGAGCTGGTGGTAATAACTCCAAAGTAAAATAAATCTGCTAGCGTATGTGATTTTCTCTATGAATATTCAGTGCCTTGGCTACAGGTTGATCGCTGGATTTTGATACAGTTCTAAAGGACTGAGCTTTTGATTGGCTGCAAATAGAATTGACGGTTAGATGGATTCTTGACCAATTTTATGTAGATGTGATGGAACCCAAATGTTGGTTTTGAAAGTCCTTAAAAATGTGTCCGTTTCACCAAAATTATAACAGATTTCTAAATAAATAAAAAAAGAAAGAAAAGGTTTTCTCAGGTGTGTTCTTCCAGGGGAGTTTCTGTACATTCTGTGCGTGCTTTGGTCTGCTTTAGAACAGACCAAACGGGGCCTGTTCTAGAATGTTCTCAGTCTGAAGAAAGGCTCTGGGTTTGAGCAGGGCCAGCTTCTCTGTGGATGGGAAGGATAAGACACCCATTTGCTCAGCCTACAATCTCCAAGGGTTTTTCAAACATCTATTATAGTCCTCCTTGCTCCTGAGCAGGGGCCTGGCAAGCAGGTTTTCCAGGTGTCTTGTATCTATAGGACATGTCCTGTTTTAATGATTTTGTTTGGTGTCCTGTATGAATTTTTTTCCAGGATGCCTTAAATGTCCTATATTCAGCTTTTAAAAATAAATTACAAAAATTTGGTGGTTAGAGCTATTTTTCCAATTTAACTGGCCTTCTGTATTTGCATTTGCTACATCTGACCATCTTTCTGGTTGACTTGTTTACATTCGTATTAACATAGTAAAGGTTGGTTCCTGTCTTTGAGTTAGAAGCAGGACTGTCCTAATCCTGACCTTGCAGAAGGGCTGTAGCTGAAGTGTTAGAAAAATGCCTTAATCAGTTTGATTCCTCAGGTTAGACCTGTGTGCAATCTCCCCGCACAATAGACTTCAGAGTGGAGCAAATATGCACTTTACAAAGTTTCCGTCTTATACATTTATGACTTGGAATCCACGTCTGGGTGCCTTCTAGCTATGTAACTTGGGCAAACTACTTAACCTTCCTGAGCTTCTGCTTGGAATCAATCATTACAAATTTGCTGTGAGGATTAAATAAGAAAAAAGTGGACAGGCACAGTGGCTCACACCTGTAATCCCAGCACTTTGGGAGGCCGAGGCTGGAAGATAACTTGAGGTCAGGTGTTGGAGACCAAACTGGTCAACATGATTAGATACCGTCTCTACTAAAAATACAAAAATTAGCTGGGTGCTGTGGTGCATGCCTGTAATCCCAGCTACTCAGGAGGCCGAGGCAGGAGAATCACTTGAACCTGGGAGATAGAGGTTACAGAGAGCCAAGATTGCACCACTGCACTCCAGCCTGGGCAACAGAACAAGTTCCATCTCAAAAAAGAAATAAACAAATAAAAATAAAAATAAAAATAAATAAATAAATAAGTGGATATTTATTTAAATATTTATTAAGTAATAAATAAATAAGGAAAAAGTGTTCCTGGGACCGACAACAGTGCCCGAGACATGAATCAGCCCTCAACAATGATGAGTTAGTTTAGTGTTGTCATTTCAGTGGCTGAACTAAGGCAGTGCAAATCCTCGAAACACTAGCTTAATATTCAACATCACTTTCTGCCTTTTCTCCCTCAGGAAATACTTTATATTATGAAATACCTTCTAGAGACTTGATGTTATGCTGAGCTGATTACATGCATTATCTTGTTCATCCCACACAATGTCTTTGTGAGACATGCACTAGAGAGGAAACTGAGGCCCAGGGAGGTCAGAAAACTTCCCATAGTTCATATAATCAGCCAGTGGCAAGGCCAGGAAACATTCCAAACCCAGCAGTCTGTCTCCAGGTCTGCATGACTTCAAAGTCTATACATTTAACCACTACTTTATAAAGATGGGGATGTCTGCATAGATACCCACTATCAGATCCCTGAAAGGCTTCTTCCACTGTAATTGAAGGGCTGCTGGAAATGCCCTTCCCAGTTTTGGGCTGTCAGTATTCTTGATGAGACCTTTCTCATCATGGCTTTCCAATTCTTAATCTTTCTTTTTTCTTTTTAGAGACAGGGTTTGACTTTGTCACCAAGGCTGGAGTGCAGTGGTGTGACCATAGTTCATAGTAACCTTGAACCCCTGGGCTCTAGTGATCCTCCCATCTCAGCCTCCAGAGTATTTTGGACTACAAGGGTATGCCACCACACCCAACTCCTTTTTATCATTTTGTAGAGACAGGATCTTACTATAGTGCCCAGGCTGATCTCAAACTCCTGGCCTCAAGTGATCTTCCTGCCTTGGCCTCCTCCCAAAGTGTTGGAATTACAGGCTTGGGCCACTGTACCCAGCCCTTATCTTCTTATGAAGCCATTTTCTTCTGAAAATGAAGAGGACCAAATAGAGAATGGTTTCTCTGGTGAAGTTATATGTATGCGTTGGGAAGAAGAGGCCAGCTGCTATGATGCTCGTCTAGGTCACTACAACTCATGTCTTCTAAGTACACTCCTCAAACACCACTGCTCCTTTCCTCCAGTCTGCACATAGCCCAGTCAGTGTTAATTGGCCCTGCATCAGGAATATTTTCAAGCCACGCCCTGATCAGGAGTGTTGCAATTGCATAGCTTGAAAACCCACCAGCTGCAGGCTGCCCTACGTTGTTTTTTCCCCACCTAGTTATTTTCACCTTGCTGATCTGATTCCCAACCTTCCCTTTGACTCTCCCTCTTTCTACCTCCCCGGGGCTACTTTGGTTGCTTGTTTCCTTCCCTTTTCATTTTCATTGATTTCCATTTCAGGGAGGTGGTTGTTTGGCTTTTTTCTTTTTGAGATGGGGTTTTGCTCTGTTGCTCAGGCTGGGGTGCAGTGGCATGATCATAGCTTACTGCACCCCTGACCTCTTAGGCTTAAATGATCTCCCACTTCAGCCTCCCAAGTAGCTGAAACTACAGGTGTGCACCATCATGCCTGGCTAATTTTTTATTTTTTTGCATAGATGGGGGTCTCACTATGTTGCCCAGTTGGGCTCAAACTTCTGGGCTCAAGAGATTCTCCTGCCTTGGCTTCCCCAAGTGCTGGGATTACAGGCATGAGCCACAGCACCTGCAGAGCAATCTTTTTTTAATGTCATGGTTTAATAAAGAGCATGAGATGTGGAGTCAAACAGACAAACGTTTGAGTTTCAGCTTTACCACTTTCTTACTGTTTGGCCATGTAAACAAAGGCATGTTAACCTTTCTGAGCCTCCCTTTTTATATCCTCATCTGGGGGTAAGACCATCTTCCTTGCACAGTTATAGGGAGAATTAGACGGGTAATGTTTGCATGCAACCCACTGTTTATGGTGAGATCTCAAAAATGGCAGCTTTCTTTCTTTTTACCTTGATAGATTTCTTTAATCCTGACGTAATCTGTCTTCACATTCTTTTAGTTTCTAAAACTGGCCAAGCTTCTCCTGGCTTTACACCCTTGGAGAATGTTATATGTCATTCTCTTAGACCCTAGAGAGCTTCTACTCTTTTTGTCTAATTGTGTCTTCTTTCATCAATCCTCAAGTCTAAGCTTAAGCATCACCTTACCAAAGGGGCCCATTGTGTCCCTCCAATTCAGCTATAGCTCCCTTTATTCCCTCTCATCACCCTTGGCTTTTATAGGATTAATTGTCATGTCAACTTACTGAGAGAGGTTACCTCTTTTTCTCCCTATTGGCCTGTAAGTTTCAGGAAAGCAGGCCTATTGGATCCCCACTGACTAGGACAGTGACTGACTGCCACATAGTTGATATCCTAATATTTGTTGAACACAGGGTTTTCCTTTTTTTTTTCTTTTTTTTTTTGAGACAGAATTTTGCTCTGTCACCCAGGCTTGAGTGCAATAGCACAATCCTGGCTCACCACATCCTCCGCCTCCTGGGTTTAAGCAATTCTCCTGCCTCAGCCTCCTGAGTAGCTGGGATTATAGGTGCATGCCACTGAGCCTGGCTAATTTTTCTATTTATCAGTAGAAATGGGGTTTCACCATGTTGGCCAGACTGGTCTCAGACTTCTGACCTCAAATGATCTACTCATCTCAGCCTCCCAAAGTGCTGGGAGTATAGGTATGAGCCACCACACCTAGCCAGACACAAGATTTTTCAAATCATGTACATTTTTCCCTGGCCCCAACTGCTATGGTTTAAGTGTTTGTCCCCTCTGAAACAAATTGTTGAACCTTAATCACCAATGTGGCAGTATTGAGAGATGGGACTTTTTAAGAGACAACTGGGAGATGAGAACTCTGCCCTTAAGAATGGATTAATATGGCCTGGAGTAGTGTCCCACGCCTGTAATCCCATCAATTTGGGAGGCCGGCAGATCACGAGGTCAAGAGATCAAGACCATCCTGACCAACATGGTGAAACCCTGTCTCTATTAAAAATACAAGAATTAGTGGCTCACGCCTGTAATCTCAGCACTTTGGGAGGCCGAGGCGGGTGGATCACGAGGTCAAGAGATCGAGACCATCCTGGTCAACATGGCGAAACCCCATCTCTACTAAAAATACAAAAAATCATCTGGGCATGGTGGCATGTGCCTGTAATCCCAGCTATTCAGGAGGCTGAGGCAGGAGAATTGCCTGAACCCAGGAGGCGGAGGTTGCGGTGAGCTGAGGTCGTGCCATTGCACTCCAACCTGGGTAATGAGCGAAACTCTGTCTCAAAAAAAAAAAAAAGAATGGATTAATCCATTCATAGATTAATGGATTAATGAGTTAATGTGGAAATGGGACTGATGGCTTTATAATAAGAGGAAGACAGACCTCAACTAACACATTGAACCTTTCACCATGTGGTTCCCTGTGCTGCTTCAGGACCCTGCAGAGCCCCCATCAACAAGAAGGCCCTTACCAGATATAGTCCTTTGACCTTTGATTTCTCAGCCTCTAAAACTGTAAAAAATCATTTTCTTTTCTTTGTAAATTGCCCAGTTTCAAGTATTGTGATAGGCAATAGAAAACGAACCAACCCCTCAAAAACAAGTTCTTTCACTTTTCCCCTTCCTCCCTCCAAAACTGAGTCTCTGCTTTAAACACTGAAGGCAGGACCCATAGAGATAGGTGTAATACTTTTTCCTATATAAGCCCCCAGGATTTCTCAGTGAGGGATAACTTTGGACAACGTTTTGTTGTGTCGGATTATTCCATACACTGCAGTATGATTTTTATTATTGTTGTTTGTTTTCTGAGAAAAGGTCTCACTCTGTTACCCAGGCTAGAGTGCAGTGGTGTGATCCTGGCTCACTGCAGCCTTGGCCTCCTGGGCTCCAGTGATCCTCCTACTTCAGCCTCCTGAGTAGCTGGGAGCACAGGTACATGCCATCATGACTGGCTATTTTTTTTTTTTTTTAGGGATGGGGTTTCACCCCGTTCCCTAGGCTGGTCTCAAACTCCTGGGCTCAAGTAATCCTTCTGCCTCAGCCTCCCAAAGTGCTGGGATTACAGGTGTAAGCTACCACACCTAGGTGCAGTATATTTAATGATGCTGGTTCTCTCCAAATCATTAGGGAAGCCAAAACATATTTCCAGATGCCCCATCGGGTATGGTAGAGTCCCAGTTGTAAAATTACAGATCTTTTAAACCTTAGGTACTTCATGAATGTTATAACCATTCAAGAAGAGAAAGTTATATGAAACTCAGAAGTTAGGTGAACTCCCATCCCCCTCCTAGTCCCAGTACACCATTCTTGCCAAGACTTCTGATATTCAAAAGCAAAACGATACAGAATGTGTTTGTGTGTGTTTTAATGTTAAGAACAGCAATCAGGTAAGTATTGCCAAAACAGATCTTTCCCACCCTTCCTATATTCTTTTGCAGAGGTGACAGACTCTCCCTGAATCACCAAAGGCAGAAAAAGATGAAAGTGTTACCCTTGTAACATGCTGATGGTGGGCTCAGATTCTGATCTGAGATTAATCTCAGATGCACTATTTCCAAAGATAATCAAGAGTGAAGTCCACAGGTCCATACATCTGATAGGGCTGGATTTTGAGAGGGCTTCTCAAGAGCGTTGTAGAAGAGCCTTTTGTAATTCACATTATCACACTGTCCCTGAACAATCCGAAATGGGGAAGGATCAATAGATACTTTCAGTGCCACTGATCAATATTAGTTCATTATGGTTATCTGTGATTTTAACAAGTATATTAACTAGTGTAAGACATTTTATTGACTAGAAAACAATTTAAGAAACGTACTTGATCCACTAGCAATAAATTATGTACTTGATCCTCTAGCATTCAATAATTCAGTTCAGTGGGCACCACCTGAGACTGGGTAGTTTCCCAAGTAAGGGTTATTGTGACCTGTGCTTGGATTTAGGCCTGACTCTGCCCTTCTGCCACTAGAAAATGAAAGAAAATTAGGACTGTTATCGTTAGGAAATAACAATGAGCAAGAATAACTGGACTTAGCATGTATCCATTCAACTTTCATTAATCCATTAAAAAAGTTCTGTTTGCTACTTTCACTCTTTCTATGGAGAAGTTGCTCCTGGAAAGGATTCATGGAATGAGGAATTCATAGTTTAGTATTTGGAGTTTGCCAACTCAGGATTTACTTCCTGCTTTTCTCCTACTAGTGGTAAATTATATGACCTTTCTAATTCTCAGATTCTTTCTCTGTAAAATGGAGATTATATAGCACTATACACCCTATTAGGCTGCTGTGGGGATTAAATGGTGAAACACATATAAAACACTTTTGCACACCAGCCTGGCACACACTGAACTAGAATTCAACAAATGCCAACTCATTTTTGCAGCAGAACATACTTTCCTTTTTTCTACTCCAAAGTGGCAGAAGGATGGCAGTGGAAGGGAGGCAGAATAGTAGAAAACAGCTAGGGAAGTCCAGAGGAGGGGCATATGAAAAGAGAGAAACAGGCCGGGTATGGTGGCTCACATGTAATCCTAGCACTCTGGGAGGCTGAGGACAGCAGATCACTTGAGGTCAGGAGTTCAACACCAGCCTGGACAACATGGTGAAAACCCATGGATACTAAAAATACAAAAATTAGCTGTGTATGGTGGTGCGCTCCTGTAATCCTAGCTACTCGGGAGGCTGAGGCAGGAGAATTGCTTGAACCTGGGAGGTGGAAGTTGCAGTGAGCTGAGATTGTGCCACTGCACTCCAGCCTGGGCCACACAGCAAGATTCCATCAGAAAAAAAGAAAAAGAGAGAAACAGGATGTAAGAGGCTCACTAAACTTTGAGCTGATAAAGGAGTGAAGTTTTTCATTATCTTCTGGGCTTTGTGTACATGTCAAAGGATTTTTCTCTTTGGAAATAGACTGTATCTCCACGCCCTGTGAGATAATAGGAGACAACTATTGGCCTGTCTTAACAAGCATGGATGAAGCACCTCCCTTGACATAACTCCCTTGACATAACTCATAACTTTAATAAGTCAGTGCTTATTAAAGGGTGGTCTGCAACTTGGGGCAAGATAAGTACAGAAATTGAGAGTTGGTATTTAGAAACTTTGATTGCAACTTGAAAGGGTAGTTTTATGTCTGCTGAATCTAATAATAAATAGGGATGTATATTTTCTTATCTGTTTCTTCAATCATCTAGTAATTTACTTCTTTCTGAATTAGCTTTTCTCCTCTAGTAATTTGCTTTTATTTTACTTTATAAAACTATTGGTACACAATGGATTGGAAATTTTAAAAATTGGTCTTTCACTACTGATAGTTTGAGAAGCACTACTCCAGAAAATAATCCAAACTTGCTTCTCGTACTGAAGAAAGTCAGTCATTCTTCTAGTTCTGGAAGCTCTTTAAGGACTGACATTTGTGGAAACTCTTTAGTGTGAACCTTTGTTCCTAAGAACAGGCCAAACTATTTCTTATAATATTTAAGCTTTTGTAAGTACAAGAAGTAATTTTGAAAAATATTCTCAAATATAGAAAAATATATAAACATCAAGGAGGGTGAGGCAATTTTAAAAACCCACCTTTTTAAACATACATCTTTATGAGGTAAATCAATATGTATTGATACAGAGGCCCAAGACACATTAGGCGAACAAAAAACAAGAAACAGAAACAAGCTGTAAAATTGTACTTGTAATATGCTGGATTTAAAAGTAAATTACTATGTGCGTAGAAAAAAATCCAAAAAAATATGCAATAAATTAACTATTATATCTGAGAGTGTTAGGCTAATGGGCATGATTATGTTTTTGTTATATTTTGTGTTTTCATTTAATATTTTTACCATGAATATATGGTATTTTGTAATAAAAAAGGAAACTTTCATGTTGAATAATGTAATTTTGTCACTTTTTGGTTTTTTAATAAATAATGTTTAATTGGTTTAATATCAATGTAGTTGAGAAATGTTTTTCAAGAGAGATGAAGGAATTCATGTAGTAGGCTTGCTAAGTTTCCATTTCTTTCTTCCTGTTTTTTTTTTTTCTGAGACAAAGTCTGGCTCTATTGCCCAGGCTGGAGTATGGTGGCACGATCCTGGCTTGCTGTAAAGTCTGCCTCCCAGGTTCAAGCTATCCTCCCACCTCAGCCTCCCAAGTAGCTGGGATTACAGACACACATCACCACGACTGGCTAATTTTTGTATTTTCATAGAGATGGGGTTTCACCATGTTGCCCAGGCCGGTCTTGAACTTCTGACCTCAACTGATCCTCCCGCCTCAGCCTCCCAAAGTGCTGGGGTTACAGGTGTGAGCCATCACCCCTGGCCCTGAGCTTCCATTTCTATACCTTCTTTTGCTCTTTGGGAGCCAAGTTCTATTTGTCCTTTCAAGGCATACTTGCAATTGTAACCACACCATTTCTGGAAGACAAATATATTATTTTATGAAGATAAATATATGGAAATATTAAGGTCTCCCTATATTTCATTTCCACTCCATTCTCTACATTATATAGGATTAAAGGATGTCAGAGAACTAATTTCTTGAATTGAGAAGACCTGTTTGCCAGTCTGTGAGATTATTATAAATTACTTGCTACAAACAAACAACATTCCCAAGATTAAAAAACCTAGAAATTCTCATCAGTCATCCTCAGTGAGACAAACTACCGTATTTCATCAATTCTAAGACCACTTTATTGTAAGACAAAGCATTATTTTTCATGTATTGCTAAGAAAAAACTGCCAATTCAAGTAGAATATGCCGTAAATCAAAAGATGAACCCTACTATCGCACACTTGTCAAAAAAAACAAAACAAAACAAAAAATGAACATTATTTTCAAATGTAAATATTTTAAAATGTACATCAGGCCAGGTGTGCTGGCTCATTCCTATAATCCCAGCACTTTGGGAGGCTGAGGCAAAAGGATCACCTGAGGTCAGGAGTTTGAGGCCAGCCTGACCAACATGGAGAAACGCCATCTCTACTAAAAATACAAAATTAGCTGGACATTGTGGCACATGCCTGTAATCCCAACTACTCGGGAGGCTGAGGCAGGAGAATCACTTGAACCCAGGAGACAGAGGCTGCAGTCAGCCGAGGTCATGCCATTGCACTCCAGCCTAGGCCACAAGAGCAAATAATCTCAGTCTTAAAAAAAAAAAAATGCACATCCTAGAATTAATAAAATACGGTAATACTGTAATTAAAAATCTTAAATCTTGCCCAATGTTATTACTTGAAATAGGGCACTGTGACCTACTTCACATGAACCCTTGACATAAATGGAAAAATACATAAACATTTTCAGTAGCACACCTTTCATTTATTGACCTATGTAAAAAAATAATAGGTCTTGAAAAGTCAGAACAATAAAAGAATATGCAAAAGGGTTATTTCTGTTTCTAGAAGGCTATACAAATATGCAAAAAAAGAATAAGTTATTTTTTTTGCTTGTCTTTTTTCCAAAATTTTTTGCCAAACTTCATTTCTAATTATACAAATGACTAAGGACCAGTTCAACAAATCATTTATATATATATATATATATTACATGCTTTGGAATATTGATAGAAAATGTTCCAAAAAAGTTGTTCAGAAACTTTTCTATTCACAATATGAACAAGGAACGTGTATAAAAGAGGGGGTAAGGAGCACCTTTTATGGAATTTTGAAGCAAAGATGACAAAAAAGATCGATCTGGAATATGGAAATCATTTGGTCTAAAAAACAAACAAAACTCTACAATAAACCATAGCTAATTAGTTCTTCCAAGGAAAGTATGAGGTAGTTTTAGCCTCATAATTAAATCCACTGCAGCTTGGAGATGTTTTGTCGTTGTTGGTTTTTTTAATTTTAACCTTGTTTTTGTCACATGGTGACTTGGAACCACTTGCGGAATCCAGACTTGTTTAATTTTCTAATGTTCACCATTTTAAGGCACACAATTCATCCAAAATGACATGGCTTTTTTTTTTTTTTTTTTTTTTTTTGCTGTTGTTTTGGATGCTTTCTGTATCATCTTAAAATACTTTTTCAAACTCATAATTATAAAAACTTTCCACATTAAGTCTGCCACTTAAAATGACAGCCACGTTGGCGAATTACCATCCAGAACAATAGCTCATCATGCAATCAGTGAAGAAAGGGAAGAGGAGCTCAATGATATTGTACCTTAGACAATTCTCCAAGCAGAGTTTGTCAATTATTCAGTGGGCTGCTTCGTTTTCCCCAATCTGCTACCATAAGTTATATTACAGGATGCTATGGTAATAAGTTTTTCCAGAACCCTTTATGGTGCTTATGAAAAACATTGCTCTTTATAGTATCCTAAAAAACATTTACACTCATTCAGAACTTCATGAAAATCCAACTTCAAGTAATTTTCCAATACTGTCTAAATTGTCCATGTCTGTGTAGAAAGAGCATGCTATTCTTCATCAGCTCACAAATTCAAACTTGGTGATGTGAGCAATGACTCCAGAGCTTCTGGTTCCCCTTTTCTTATCCTGCTGAATTGTGCTCTGAGATTTCCCCTGTCCTTATTGCCATAGGACATCCTGAATGTCCTTTCATGGTTTTGAGGTTTGCCTTTAACAACTCCTATTCCCTTAAAAAGTGCTTGCTGTTAATGAAGGCTTCACGCTGAGTCCTCTCTTGGCACTGCTTCAATGTGTGGGCAGACTCTGCTGTTAGATTAGTGCCTAGAGTTTGAAAGTCCAAGTCTCTCTTCAGGGGCTTTGTGGGGCTTAGTGTGTGATTCACTGATTCACTTCCAGGGCAACTAAGTCTTCTCTTCAACCTTTGATGTCTTTAGGTTTCTAAAGCCAACATCTTCTGGGAAGACGAATACAATTTGCAAGGCACACTAGTGTGAGAATGCAGTGCTTGGTCAAGCGGTCCAACTGCAGTTCAGACTAATGTTCCAGGTTTTGAGTCTTCATGCCAAAAGAGTCTCTGCTCGCTACTCTCCAGGCTGTCTTCCAGTGGGTGTCCATCTGTACCGTCCAGTTGACTGATTTCTGTGTACTGTCTATTAAAAAAAAAAAAAAAACGGAAAAGTTACTACTTGTGTCCATATTTTTCTCCCTACAGCACAAAGACTACTACATTTGAAGAAGTTAGTAGGAAGCACTGTTAAGAAAAATTTCCCAAAATGTAGAGATAACGCAAAGGAAACGGATGGCGGCATGCTTTTCCAATGTCATACTGGAGCATTGTTTAACAGGCCCATAAAAAGGATTATTTAATTCTCTGGAAAGATATATCTTTGTTTAACTTGTATTTAACATTGATCAGGACCCAGATTGTATTAAGTTGTATGTTAACTTGTAGATTTCTGTCTCAGAGAAATACAAATAACTTGTCTAGTAAAAAAAGATTATGGTTACAGTTTTACGGCCCTATAGGACATTAACTGGTTTTGAATCTAATGTAGTAGTCTTTTCCAGCATTCTTTCAGTGCTTGAATTCACTTTGAAGCAGCTTTACCATTCTGCTAGTTCACTTATAATGAGTTAAAAAATCTTTGACCCATGTCTATTCTAACTTGTGCAAGTTATTTTTAACTTTTTAAAATGTATATGGTGACAATCACATTTTAAGTATTCTTCAAATTAAGGGAATATGCTAGATGCTTTCCTCAGGGACAAAATAATATATTTAGAAGGTGGCCGGGGCACTTAGGGACATCTATGATAACCCTAGGGTTTGTGGATCAGGCATAAATTGGAAGTGACCTAGGAAACAGCATCACATTTAAAAATCATAGGCATATTTAGATGGCAATTCCACATGAGAACATCCTATCATACTACAGACCATTCTGATAAGCAAAACTGCATTATTATCACCGTAGGTTAAGAGAGATTAGATTGTTAGTTGATTTCTTTTTTATTTCACATTCTAAAGTCTTTTAGTAAAGGTTATTTTTTACAAAGGCTTTGGAAGAAGAGCTTTGGAAATTAAGGATTTAGCGTTTTCATGTAACACAAAAAACAAAACCAGGTTTCATAATTTCACACATCAGTCAGTTTCAAGCAAAACTCCTGCTATGCAAGAGGCAACACACAGATTGGAAGTACTGTACTTACTACAGCTGGCTACACTTAGCAAAAGAGAATTTACAACTGATCTCACTTCTGGAGACACAACCATTCTTGGGGATAGAAGCCCTTCGTTTTGCCTAGTAATAGATAGAGTTAGACAGAAAAAGGGAAAGGGAAATGGAAAACAGGAGGTCAAAGAAAAAAAGTTATTTGAAAATACAGTTTGCAGCAGTACAGCCAAGAATTTGACTGCATTATATACTATGTAGCTTCAACATTTCTACTTTGGGAAGTTTATGCCAATGACAATTACGCCAATTGTACTAGAAAAAATTTTAATGGTAAAAATTAGTATCTTTCTATAATTTTAAGACCTAGATACTCTAGGGAAAAGCACTTTAAATAATATACTTTATTTTAAAAAAACAATAAAACACTAATATATTGCTATGCATTTCAAATCTTTAGCTTAAGGGAAAAGTTTAGTTTCTCATCTTTATCTTAAAACCTAATTTCTCTCTTATTTTAAAAACCATGTTTTCATAAAAACAATTTACAGAATTTCAGAGCTAATTTCTAAAGCTTTATGAATGATTGTTATTATCCTTGCCTTGTTAATAGGTTAAATTGATCAGACTGTATCATTAAAAAAATTCTAAATAAAAATCTGGATGGAAATAAGTACTTCTGTATCTCTGTGGCTGTAAGGGCAAAGTGGCATATCTTTCTGGAAAGCAAGAACTTGAAAAAATACACTTTTCAATTTAATCCATTAACCCTATTTATTAGAATGTACCCTAAGAAAATAATCCAGGATTCAGACAAGTATTTGGGACAAAGATGTTAATAGCTGCAGTACTGGGTTAGGCACCGACTCATGCCTGTAATCCCAGCACTGTGAGAAGCCAAGGCAGGTGGATCACAAGGTCAGGAGTTTGAGACCAGCCTGGTCAACACGGTGAAAACCTGTCACTACTAAAAATACAAAAGTTAGCCAGACATGGTGGTGCGTGCCTGTAATCTCAGCTACTTGGGAGGCTGAGGCAGGAGAATCACTTGAACCTGGGTGGCAGAGGTTGCAGTGAGCTGAGATCGCACCACTGCACTTCAGCCTGGGCAACATCATTTCAAGGCTCCATCTTGAGAAGAAAAAAAAATAGCTGCAGTATTTTAATTAAAATAAAAAAGAAAGAAAAATCTAAAAACCTCTCAAAACAGCTGTTCAAAAAATGAGGCACTTTTAAATAAAGCATGGTATATTTAAGTGGAATATCATATTGGTCATATAAAATCAGGTTCTGAAAATTTTAAAACACATGGGAACATGGTTATGTTACGATGTTAAGACTTTTTTTAAATGGAGATGTAGAATTTCATGTATAACATAAGATGTAAAACTATATGTACAATATCATTATAACCATACAAAATGGTCAGAGAAAAATTGGGAAATTGGGAAAATATGCCAAAATGTTAAGAGCTGCTATCTCTGGAACAGGGGAATTGTGGCTAATTTATTTCTACTTATTTATCTTTTTATTATAAATTTTCCACCATGAGCTCATTTATGTACACACATACACAAATACAATAGGGATCTTTAAATAGCTTCTGATTTCCTGTACATTACGCCCCCTTTGATCCCCTATCAAGCCATCTTGGGCTGTCTGAGATATATGAGCAGACTTGGTAAAAACAGATTTTCTCTAAAAATGCTTAACACTTCCTGAGTCCAGTGACAGCAGTGTTAAGGATATTAGAACTGCCTAATGGACCAAAAGTTTTAGCATCATTTCTAACTGAGTCAACAAAAAGGAAAGTAAAATTACACAAACATGAAAAGAATTTGCAAATATATTATTTAAAATTGGTTAGAACTAAACTGATAAGGCTCAGCTCAAATTTTAGGCCAGTCATTTTGGTTCTTGCTCCTAACTCATTTTCAAACATCATTTACGGAAGTCCAAACTATTTGACGTCCTCTGAAATATATTTTCATTAAAATTCTATTTTGAGTACACCCTTTGTTTAGCTGAGACAATTGGCTTAGTATTTCAAGCCAAGAAAAACTCCTACTAAATGTGGAGAAAAAATAAGGCATTTGGGGCTGAATATTTCTAATTTGCTTGTAACACTGAATGTCTTGATAAGAAACTGCTAAAGTCTCAAATTTACCAGCACAGAAACCTTTATAAGTTGTAGTCTGTATAAGTCTTCTGTGCCTGAAGCAATCTGACTTAAAGAAATAAAATTACACTCTAAAAAACCAGAAATTGCCCTACTTCTTGGTACCATACATGTGGATTATCTTTTGTGAGAAAGTAGAAGGGAGAAATGACCTTTTCAAACTTAATTCCTGCATACAACAAGAATTTTTTAAAAAGCAATTCAGAGTTTGCAATTAAAAAAAAAACAATTTTAACAAATTGCTCTTGTACATTTCCTCTTATGTGTACAAAGGACTTCTTTTACAGACAAACGGGACAGCTGGTTGTGTCTGTTGCTTTGTAACAAATACAGGATCAGACACGAAAAGGCAGCAAATGTTTGAAATCCAGCCTACCAACTGTCTGAGGAACCTTGGTATGAACAGCTTTTCCTGGAGTAGAGATATTTTTCCTGCAAGGTTTCAAAAGAGACTTAAAATGGACATATCACTCATAGGGTTTCAAACACCATAATTTTTTTTAAAAAGCTTCAGACTCAGAATTCAACGTACAGACTAAAGAACAGAATGCGTTACTTAGGGTGATAGCAAACTTTTTCTTAAAGGCCAGGTATTTTTTGCTTTGGTGTCTGTACAAGTAGTTCTTTGTAAACATTAGAGGAAATACACAAAAATTCAATGTAAGATTGAAGAACATGGTCAAATTTGAATGAGTTAGATTAGGGGTTAGCAAACTTTTTCTTAAAGGTCAGATACTTTTTGGCTGTGGTGGCCAGATATTTTTGGATTTGGTGCAACTACTGAGCTCTGCCCTTATAGTACAATCCACAGATAACATGTAAATGAATGAGTGTGGCTATTCCTCAGTGAAACTTTATTTACCAAAACATGTGGCTGCTGAATTTGGCCCACAGGCTATAGTTTGCCAATCCCAAAACTAGATTATCTGACATTTGTATATTAGGATCTCTGAATTCTTTTGAACTGGAACAGGTGCCTAGGATTTTCAAGGACTGCTTCCTCACCTGCTTGGAGAGGGTAAAGGATTATAGACATTGCCATAGCAGCTGGTGTAAGAAGAATGTGCTGGAGTCTCATAATCCGACAGCCCTATGGTTAACTGGGTCCTCCAGTTCCCAGAAGCATTTGTAGAAGACACTGAAAATAAAAATGGAAAAAGAGACAAAATTAATAAAAATATAAAGAGTGAAAAATTGTTGAGGTCATTCAGATGTACATTGTGATCAGTTTTGTCAGAGTAGAGATTAAGAGAGTTTGGAACCAACAGAGTTCCTATTCCAATTTAGTGACTTCCTGGCTATGTCACCTTAAGCAAGTAGTTTATCCCCTTTAAGATTCAGTTTTCTCATCCATGCAGTAGGGAAAATAATATTAACATATTCTTTATAGGTATGATCCCAGGATTAAATCAGGTAATTTTGAAAATCTTTAGCACTGTACTTGATACAGAATAAGCACTCAATAAATGATGACTATTAATATTATTATTGAGAATAAGATTAATTGAAAGATAAATTTGCCCCTGGTTGGGGCCAGGGGTGGTGGCTCGTGCCTGTAATCCCAACACTTTGGGAGGCTGCGGCAGGAGGATCACTTAAGGCTAAGAGTTTGAAACCAGCCTAGCCAACATGGTGAAACCCTGTTTCTACCAAAAAATACAAAAATTAGCCAGCTGTGGTAGTGTCTGCCTCTAATCCCAGCTACTTGGGAGGCTGAGACAGGAGAATTGCTTCAGCCCATGAAGTAGAAGTTGCAGTCAGCCAAGATCACGCCACTGCACTCCAGCCCTGGTGACAGAGTGAGTCTGTAACAAAATAAATAAGTAAATAAAAATAATAAAAATAATTTCAGGTCAGACTTAGTGGCACAAGCCTGTAAGCCCAGCACTTTGGGAGGCCAAGGCAGGAGGAACGCTTCAGCCCAGGAGTTCAAGGCTAGCCTGGGCAACTGGGGAAACCCCATCTCCGCAAAAAATACAAAAATTAGCCTAGTGTAGTGGTGTACTCCTATAGTCCCAATTAATCGGGAGGCTGAGGCAGGAGGACCACTCGAGTCTGGGAAGTCAAGGGTGCAGTGAGCTGTGTTTGCACCACTGCACTCCAGCCTGAGCCACCAACAGAGATCCTATCCCAGAAAAGAAAATGAGAATAATACATAAATCTTTTTAAAAATAACCGAAAAGATAAGCAAGAAAACAATTTTCATATATTGTGAGAAATCTTCCCATTCAGGCAATGGTGTTGTAAAGGTAAGATGATGAGTTTGGGTTTGTCAGATGCCTTGGAGGAAATGTGTTTCTTAAGTAGCCTTGTTGAGAGGTGACTATTCCTCAGCCAAAGACAACACTGGCCACTGGATTGAGGCTATTTTTTGTCTTTAAAAAAAGTGTGTGTGTGTGTATGTGTGTGTGTGGGTGTGTGCTGGGGGAGGTGGGGCAAGGTGGTAACTAGTTCAGGAAGGAATTCAGGAAGTAGGGATTTAGTTCTACAGAGGAACTGAACTAGAACAAGACAAGGGGACAATTTGGGAGCAAAACCCAACAATTGCCTCATCACTGGGCATTTGTTGTCCTCTCTGTAAAACCAGTTCTGCTCCATGCCTTGGATGCACAAGGTAACCACAATGTCATGCCGTTTGTCCAAGACTCAAAAACCAGCACTGCTCTTTTCCATTTCCTGTTTCTGGCTCCAGACCTACTCCTCTCTCATACCCACAATGTGCCTGTGATCACTAGGGGCAACACATTTCAAAACTCATCTGTGGCCCTGGATATCATGAGGTTTTGACTAACAGATTTAACACTCTCAGTTTGAGCTTCTAAGACATTTCTGAACTGTAAATCAGAGGTTCTGAGCCTTGGTAGTTAAAATGTCAGTGCTGGGAGGCTGGGTGTGATGGCTCACGCTTGTAATTCTGGCACTTTGGGAGGCTCAGATGGGAAGATGACTTGCAGCCAGGGGTTGCAGCCTGGGAAACAGAGCCCAGTCTCCACAAAAAAAAAAAAAAAAAAATTAGCCAGGCATAGTGGTGCACACTTGTAATCCTAGCTACGTGGGAGGCTGAGGCGGGAGGATCACATTGAGCCAAGGAGTTTCAAACTGAGTCAGTTATAATGGCATCACTGACTCCAATGTAGGTGACAGACTGAGACTCTGTGTCTTTAAAAAAGAAAAAAAAAAAGAGCTGAGCTAGGATAGGATCTCCATCCCACCACTTAGTAGCTTTGGAACTTGGGTTATTTAAACTCTGTAGCCAGAGTTACCTAAGCTGCAAAATTATCATAATAACAAGCATAACAATAGCAATCACTATATAGAACTGTTGCATACGTTAAATAGGAGAGTGCAAGTAATATGCTGAATTTGCGTGGCATCTAGTAAGCTGTCCACAAATGGTAGTTGTCATTACTAAAACTGAGTCACCGAGACAGCCTTCAGGTGGCTGGAAGGGACTACAAAGCAAGGACTAATTTGGCAAATGACTGGAAATTGATCTCTCCATGAGAATGATGCCTGCCTGTTGTAATACATTTCCGTAGTTATAAAGTGGAGACAGAAATAAGGGGAATTCCAGAAGGGAATTCTAGGAGTACGGATTCCATCCCTGTAGTTCTTTAAAGAGCAATGCCTTTTGGTCTGTGAGGCCACACCTTGCTGGTGTCAGCGAGGCTCATACCAAGTCTGAAACAGGAAGCATCACCTCCATTCTCACCTTTAGCCCAGATACTAAGCTAACAGCCAGGAATGTTGAGGTTCCTAGTTACACCTGCTTCCCCCACGGGGCACCAGCCCAGTCCTGTGCTGTAGTGACTGTCCACACACATCTCAGCCCTCCTTGTTTGGTTTTTCCCTTTTAGTACTCTGCCTGACCCTGCCCAGGTTTGATCTGTGAAAGTTTCTCACATCTTGAATTTTAAGAGGAAAACAAAGTGTTTTCTAGGTCAGAGCCATAAATAAGAAATAAGTACAGAAGCCCTTTCATATGTTAGATGTGGTAATGGATGGGACAGCCCTAGTGAAAGTGCAAAGTCCCACACAAATCGAAGAGAACTTGAACCCAAACAGAAATCTCCATGGAAACGCCTCTTGTCAACAAGCATATGAAACTTTTAAAGGTGTAGTTTTCACTGACTACTCATACAATGATTCAGGAATCCTTATACTATGTCTCACTAAGGTGTCATGCTGATAAAGGAGAAGATGAGACTCATGACCTCTGGTTTTCTGGCAGTTTGAGAATGTATTCATTTCTTAGAGTTTTAAAATTTCTTCATTTTAAAACATTCCTCTGGCCGCTGACTCAGCTTGTCGTGGCCAGGAACTAGTTCAATACTGGGTCCTCCATAGCTTGAATGTGGCTGCTCTTTTGCTGAATAAATAAAACCATACACAGAGCCATACATATACCCTATCTTCTATTTCTCTCCTTAAAGTACCTAGCACAGCTGGGAGTAGCAGGAAGTCCTCCACAAATGTTAGTAGAGTTAGGGGCCAAAGTCAACATCAAGGGTATAAAGGAAACATCTCTATTTGAAGTTATCTTTTAAAATCCCTTAAGTCAACCATAAAGTAGGTATATATGAATATTGAATTATAATATGCATGGCAGGCACTGTGGCTCTCGCCTGTAATCCAAAAACTCTGGGAGGCCAAGGCAGGAGGGTTGCTTGAGGCCAGGAGTTTAAGACCAGCCTAGGCAACAAAGCAAGACCCAATCTAAGCCTCCCTGTTTCTACCAAAAAAAAAAAAAGATAGGCAAATTACTTAGAATGGTGCTTAATCAATTATAGTTCCTATCAGGATTATTATGAGCCTTATGTAGGCACCTGAGCATTCAAAATGGTCCTTAGATGATCAAATCTTGGTGGTGAACAAGGATAGATGTATAATTCTAATGTTTTCCACTTACATGAAGGTTTATTCTTTTTTTTTTTTTGAGACTAGTCTCACTCCGTCACCCAGGCTGGAGTGCAATATTGCGTGGTCTCGGCTCACTGCAATCTCTACCTCCTGGGTTCAAGCGATTCTCCTGCCTCAGCCTCTTGAGTAGCTGGGACTAGAGGCACATGCTAATTTTAGCCGAACTACACACCTGGCTAATTTTTGTATTTTTAGTAGAGACGAGGTTTCACTATGTTGGCCAGGCTGGTCTCAAACTCCTGATCTTGTGATCTGCCCACCTCAGCCTCCCAAAGTGCTGGGATTACAGGCATGAGCCACTGCTTCCAGCTGTACCCTATTCTTTCAAAATATCAAACCTCAATGACATGAACACATTTAATAGATGTGCCTATCAATGTAAATCCTAAAAAGATAATACAAGTGATACCCCTAACACATTGCAGCAAGGGTGACTGAGTGAGACTCCGTCTCAAAAAAAACCAAAAAACAAAAAAACTAAAACCAAAATCCTAACATAAGGCAGCACAGAGGGTACATGCTCAGTCAATGTTTGCTGTTTGCTGAATCTACAATTTGCTTCAATACACTCAAGTGTATTGAGTTCTCTGGAGAGCTGGAAAGAACTGTTTTTAAATTGGAAATCCTGATTGTGGAGTTCCACCGAATGGTTACCACTCTTTTGACCTTGAATACTGGTCCCATGATCCGTGAAGTGGTTTTGGGTGGGCAGGGAACATAATGTAAATAAAATCCAGGTGTGGCGTGTTTTTACGGTATTCTCACCTGAAGAGTAGGAGGATGCACGACTGCTTGGAGAACAAGGTACTTGCAGGCCCGCAAACCCCAGACATCTCTGTGATCCCCTATCTGAATCAAAGCTAGTCTGCGGGCTGTGGCCCTGATCCTTCTGCCCAGAGGCCCGCTGGTACCAGCCACGCAAGTGCTCGGCAACTAAGGCCTTGTGGATGTTTTTGGTGATGTGCTCAGATTTTGCAGCATCCTTTCTTGGCAGCCGGAGAGTTGCATATGGGTTATGGGGTACCCGGTCAACCTCATCTTCATGAAAGGATCTGCTGTAGTCCCTCTGGCGTTCATATCCATAGTGGGCTGAGGACCGGTAGGAAGGGTTGACACTATACTGTCCCTCCGTGTCATTCTCATAGACATAACCACCACTGTAATAAAAGTCACACTCTGCATAGGGTGTGTACCCGGCAATGTAGTAACTGGAAGACGGTGGCTCCTGACTCTTTGAGTAGACACCATTCCTCAAACTATCCTTTTGTGCTAGGTTGGGCATGCTTCCTGAATTTGAAGTAGAAACGTTCTGTTTCTTTGACCTCCTCCGACCCCTGGTGCGAGTGTCCAGGGTCTGGGTGGTGTAATAGGGGCCGCTAACTGGTGTCACACAATAATACTCTGTGCTTGATTGGCTTGTATAGGAAGACCCGTCATCGAGGATTTCTGTGCTGCTGCTTCTTTGGGATTTGGAGAGGGAGAAAAATGGCTTATCACTGTCCATCTCGGAGAGCAGGTGGGACTGGGACTCCAGGCTTCCACTCCGCTGGCGGCAGTGCTGAGACGAAGATTCAGGTCTGAAACAGGAAAAGGCAAATTTGTCAAAACCACGAAGGAAAGGAGGACCCAAATAGGAAAAAAGAATACTATGCTGAGTGGCTGAATAACTCGGGAATGGCAATAGGACTCTGAAGGTTGCCAAAGCTGACTGCACAACAGAATCTATTTGTTCACGAAATCTATTGGCTCACACCTAAGTTCATTACCACGGTCAAAATGAGAAAAGAACTGGGTTCCATTAGTTCTGCAAGCCAAATCCTTCCTTGAGGGCAGGGAAAGACATAAACTGATGATGCACAGTTTGCACTGGAGCCTAAAAAAAAAAAACAAAAAACCCAATATGTCTTTGGAGGCTCTGTCTTCCTAGAGGATACGAAGATATGGTACATTCAAGTCTGGGCTGAGTCACATCAGTGGTATATCCCAGATGTATGAGCTCAGACAAGATATTTAACCTCTCTGAATCTTGCTTCCTCCTTTGTAAGATGAGGATGAAAACAATATCTTATTACCTCACAAAAGGCTTGCTATAGGGACTAAATAATACAGTGCATATAAAACATTTAGCATAGCACTCACAAACATTTCAAAATGTTGCTATTGTTACTAACTTCATCCTCACCATTGAACAATGAATGGTAATATGTGACTAGGGAAATTACGGTACTAAAAATTGAATGTATACTTGAACAAATCAAATACATTTTTTTTTGCCAACATATTTGAAACGATAAGTTAGCAGAGAATGTAAAACCATAAAACAAGGTCCTGCTACAGAAAGCCACTTGAAATGATTAAAAACCGCAACACAGCAAGACAGAACCTCAAAGCAAAAATCTACAGAGCCAAAGCAATGAGAATGAAGCTCTCTTACTCCAAGTGGCTGCTGCTGTAGGCGTTTCGGGTAAGAACTGGTGTGGTGGGCATGCTTCGTCCTCCCTGGGGTCGCCTCTCCAGAGTTTTGTAAGGGCTGCTGTGTGTCGACAGCATTTCTCTGTGATGATAAAAAGAAGAATTCAGGAAATGATGAATCTCTCAACATCTCTGGAAAACTTGTCATAAGCTGATAGGAAACTTACTAGGAGCCCAAGGAAAGGGAACATAGGGAGAAAGATAGGAAGGGTATCTTTGTGGTTTAGTGTCCTGGTACATTCTAGGTGAGTTTTAGTGGAAGCATATATGGTCTGACTTTCTAGTCACAAATACGTAGAAAAAGAACTTTTAATAAAGAATACACATGTGGCCACTAGCCACATGTAGCTGCTGAGCATTTGAATTGTGGCTCGCATGACTGAGGAACCAAATTTTAAATTTTATTTACTTTAAATTGGCTAGCACAGCTCTAGCTCCTTGAATCTATCATTTCAGGCAAAAGTTCCTAAATGCTAATCCACAAACTGGGGCTGATACGTGATAAAGTTTTCACTGGCCTTTAACGAATTACAAATATAACAAAGTATAGGTTATATTTTCATAAGTAAAACTTTATCCAATTTGAATAATCCAATAATCTACTTTGATTTTGAGAATAAAATTTCTTCTGTTTGGCCCTTGTAAAGCAAATACCTTCCAATTTGCTGAGATGCAGTATAACATGTTCACTGAAATCACACACATCGTAAGCTTCAGAGCCTGCCAAGTTCTAGGCTACCGAGGTTCAAACCTTGATTCCCATGTTTACTAGTTGATGAACCCAATGAAGTTATTTGTGGTCCCTGGCCCTCAGTGTACTTATTTCTAAAGAGTAATGACAGTAGGGTTGTCATGAGGATTAAATTCATTAATAAATTACATGGGAAAAACATAAACAGTGTCTGGGACACAGTAAATGGTCAATAGCAGCCAGGCATGGTGGCTCATGCCTGTAACCCTAGCACTTTGGGAAGCTGAGGTTGGCAGATCACCTGAGGTCAGGAGTTCAAGACCAGCCTGGCCACCATGGTGAAATGCTACCTGTACTAAAAATACAAAAATTAGCCAGGCACAGTGGCACACGTCTTTAAGCCCAGCTACTTGGGAGGCCGAGGTGGGAGAATTGCTTGAACCTAAAAGGCGGAGGTTGCAGTGAGCCGAGACGATGCCATTGCACTCCAGCCTGGGCAACAGTGCGAGATCACGTCTCAAAAAAAAAAAAGAAAAGAAAAAAGAAAAAAAGGTAAGCGCTCAATAGAAATGTTATATAAAATTAATATAAAATCAAATTAACATGAAATTAAGTGAAATGTTAACTTCATTCAATTAGTATTACTACAACAATGATAATGGATATATTCTTTATACCAAAATGTTTCTTTCATTAATTCATGGTACTATTTGTTTGAACGTTTCTTTCCTATTTTTTTTGAGACAGAATCTCGCTCTGTCACAGGCTAGAGTGTAGTGGTGTCGTCTTGGCTTGCTGCAATCTCTGTCTCCTAGATTCAAGTGATTCTACTGTCTTAACCACCCAAGTAGCTGGGGCTACAGGCAGGTGCCACCACACTCAGCTAATTTTTGTATTTTTAGTAGAGACAGGGTTTCACCATGTTGGCCAGGATGGTCTTAATCTCTTGACCTTGTGATCCACCTGCTTCAGCCTCCCAAAGTGCTGGGGGATTACAGGCATGAGACACCACACCCTGCCTTTTTTTTTTTTTTGAGACAGCATCTTGCTGTGTTGCCTGGGCTGGGTGCAGTGGCATGATCATAGTTCACTTCACTCTTGAAATCCTGGGCTGAAGCAATCCTCCTGCCTCAGTCTACCAAGTAGCTAGGACTACTGGTATGAAATACCATGTCTGGCTAATTAAAAAAAAAACAAAACTGGGGGCCAAGCATGATGGCTCAGGCCTGTAATCCCAGCATTTTGGGAGGCCGAGGTGGGTGGATCACCTTAAGTCAAGAGTTCAAGACCACCAGCCTGGCCAACATAGGGAGACTCTGTCTCTACTAAAAATACAAAAATTAGATGGGTATCGTGGCGTGCGCCTGTAATCCTAGCTACCCAGGAGGCTGAGGTGAAAAAAATCGCTTGAACCCAGGAGACGGAGGTTTTAGTGGGCTGAGATTTCACCACTGCACTCCAGCCTGAGCAACAGAGCAAGACTGTCTAAAAAATAAGTTAAAAAAAAATTTTTTTTAAATGTAGAGATGGGGCTTCATTAGATTGCCCAGTCTGGTCTCCAACTCTTGAGCTCAAGTGATCCTCCCACCTTGGCCTCCGAAAGTGCTGGGATTATAGGTGTGAGCTGCCACACTCAGCCTGTTTGAAGATTTCTTTTCAGACAAACCAAACACTGGTAATCCCATCTTGTGTCCTAATTTTTTTTTCTTTTTTAAGGATTCATCCATATAGCCAAATTCTGGGAACCACTGGCCTGTCAAGTTTCTTATTGCCCTGATCATATTTGCAACTGAGATATTTAAGAAAAATGCTTGGATTATCTATTTTACAGATTATAAAATGGGTTTAAGTCCCATGTTTATTTGCAGGATTGGAAATCAGTCCTGCCACTTGGTTTGGCAGAGTGGATTTTAATGACAATTTCCTTAGACCAGTGACTATGAAACTGAACTGAGGACACTATGTCCAAATCCAGATGATAATTAATGTCCCTACAAGTTAATATAGATCGAATAGACTTTAAAGTCAAGGAAATGGTCAAATGCATTTTAAAAGACTTCTTAAAAACATTTTCATTTGCTGCAAACAACAAATAACTGGGTTAGTTTCTATGCCCCAGTTTTACAAAATAACCTCCTCTGGAAGGATAAATAAAAACATGTAAAAATGTATCAACCACACATTGCATTTTGGAGAAAAAAATTTCCTAGCTGTGAGGCATTAACCTTACTGATAATATGAGGTCTCACCTGGACTGCCTGGTATCCACGAACTGTTCATTGATGGATGACTTTCTGAAATGGATTCGCTCAATACCAAGAGACTTAGGGGGAAGAATTCTTGGAGAATGAGGTACTGAACTTGATCGCTGTCCAACAACAGAGAAGGCGTCACTGGCTATAATAAGTAAATGAGTGAATAAAAAAAATCAGTAGGTAAATCAATAAGTAAATAAATATCTTGCCAACACCTTAAAAAAAGAAACTGGAAGATTTAGTGAACGAAGTATTCTTCCAAAGATGATAGTTTTAGAAGTACATAACTTTCAAGAAGTTATTTTTTATATTTTATACACCAGAAAACATGAAATTACTGAACACTCTTGTGGGACCTGAAACATCTTTTGCCAAATTCTACTCTGAGAGAGTAAATCACTCAAGGGGAATGGGTAATAGAGCAGCTTTTAAAAAGCTATATTAAATAAAACCCCCAGTGTGGAAAGAACCAAGGGGAAGTTAGCCTGGATCATTTTTGTTCACTGTTACTTTTCAAGTTTTTAGGCCTCAAGAAGAAAGAAAAAACAAAGCATAAAAAAAGATTTAAAAAAATGAAGGTAGTGAACAAAAAGATGATACAAATAAAAAGAAAAAAGAAGTTTTTAGACCGCCTAGGCCAAAGGCTTATCCTGTCATTTAAAGTAACGAAACTGACTTATGCACCATCATTAGAGGCTTGTTATGTTTCCCACTGATAATTACATTTTCAAAGAGGAATGGCAAGGATGACCAAAGAAGTCTGCAGTGGTGAAATTTGATGTACCACAAAACTTGGGAAAGTTAAAGCAGTGGGGGGTGGCTTCCTGAATTCTTCAAGTCATACCACAGAGAAGCCAACTCATCTGATTAAGTAAAAGAGATGACAAACAAATAGTCTACTAGTTGATAGGAAACTCATTCTACAATGAAATGTATTGAACAAATACAGGCCATTACAATCAATACAGTCTACCTCTATGAAACAACAAAATGACAGGTAGCCCAACGTCTAACTGTACCTTTCTTCCTAAGTGAAAGCAACTTTCATTTATCAAAAATGTGAAAGTTTATTTCATATTGTGAAACATACAATAATTTTATTTCATATTGTGATGAATTCAGTGATAATCAAAGTGTACACTCTAATATCCTGGTTTTGATATTGGACTCCAGATATTGAAGATGTCACCACTGGGAAAAGCTGGCTGAAGGACTCTCTATTAATTATGTAACGCTCCATGAGCCCATGATTACTTCAAAATAAAAAGTTAAGAAACACTTCAGAGAGCCTTAAAGTCCTTACTGAGAGACTTAGACAATCCTGTGAAAGTGTTCTGATTTCCTGAAGTCACATGATTTTGTATGGTCCTGTTTTTAATGTTGAGTTAACCTGAGTAGGTGTTAATCATGCATTTCCTTTCCCAACCATTTTGCATAAATGTAAGTTAGTTTATTCTACTTTTTGTCAAAAGAAAAACAAGTAGGCTTTACTTAACTAAGAAAATTATCTTAATTATTTCAGAATCTCTAACATTTTTAAACCAAAACAGGAAGAGCCACTTACGATCATCATAGGTGGTGGTATCAGACAAAGAGCTACTCTCTGAGGGGATGATGTCTTCTGTGAATAAAAATAACTGCTTTTAGTATAATTATGCATTTGTACAACTAGAGGGGCCTTAGAGGAACAATTTTCAATGGAGTAAATTTTTAAAATAATTAACTACTGTAGTAAGAATTGACTCATATACTAACAAAAATCAAAACATCTTACATATTGTACGAATATTGCATTAGATTATTTCTTAAAATGGAACAGACTTCAAGAGAGTGCTGGTTTTAAACTAGTTTTTGGTGTTTCTTCTATACTGGAAGAAAACTTTACCTACATATTTGGTACTTACAACCAACAAACTGGAAAGAAAAATCATGCCATTCTTAGTATAAATGCTAAATGTTATATAAAACACAAGTGAATCCTCATTTGAGAATCTGCTCTTAGTATAACTTGGTTTTTGACCTGTTCCTGAAAGAAAAGGCCTTCTCTCTCTCTTTTTTTTTTGGTTGTTTTTGAGACAGGGCCTCATTCTGTTGCCCAGGCTGGAGTGCAGTCATGCTATCATGGCTCACTGCAACCTCAACCTCCTGAGCTTAAACAATCCTCCCGTCTCAGCCTCCTGAGTACCTGAGACTACAGGTATGCACCACCACACCTGGCTAATTTTTTTGGATGTTTAGTAAAGATATGGGTATCACCACGTTGGCCAGGCTGGTCTTGAACTCCTGGGCTCAAGCATCTGCCTGCCTCAGCCTTCCAAAGTGCTGGGATTAAAGGTGTGAACCACTATAACCAGACGAGCTTTTCAACAGGTTTCTCAACAGTGGCACTACTGACATTTTGAACTGGATAATCCTTTGTCCTGGGGAGCTGTCCTGTGCATTATAGGATTTCGAGCCTCCCTGGATGAAAACCACTGTATTAGCTTTAAGTCTTGGTGAGACCTTGGGCAAATTACTTAATCTCTAAGCATCACCTGGCTGAACCCTACAATGGGGTAACAACAGTACTTGTCACGTAGTGCTGGGGTGAGGTGTTAGAATAACAGATGTAAAGCCCCTAGCCCAGCTCCCAGCATTACATGACAAGTGCTCAGTAAATATTAGCTAGACTTACTGCTTTTGTTACCTAGACACTGCACTCTGGTTGGCAATGACCATAACACTCTGACTACTGCTGGTGCCCCTCAAATGTTAAATAACATGGCCTGGCAAAATGGCTCGCACCTGTAATATCAGCACTTTGAGAGGCCGAGGTTGGTTGATCACTTGAGGTCAGGAGTTTGAGATCAGCCTGGCCAACACAGTGAAATCCCATTTCTACTAAAAATACAAAAATTAGCTAAGTGTGGTGGTGCATGCCTGTAATCCCAGCTATTTGGGAGGCTGAAGCAGGAGAATTGCTTAATCCTGGGAGGCGGAGGTTGCAGTGAGCTGAGATCACACCACTGTACTTGAGCCTGGGTGACTCTGTCTCAAATGGAAAAAAAAAAAAATTATTCAGTAAAGAGAAATAACTCAGATGTGTTGATCTGCATTGGCATATCTTTCCATATTTGGTTGAATGTTTCGGCACAAGGTTCTAGGTAAATATAATCCTTCAATATAAACTTCAAAACTATTATGAAGGGAAGCTCTCCATCCAATCTCTAATGTTAATCTGTATCAGAAACAAGTGAACTATCTATATGACACATAGTGGCACTGGAAGGCAAGGTGACAGTATACTCAGTATACTTTCACCGTAAAGGAGAACATTTAAGTTTTGCAGTTTGAGGAGGAATGGGCCATAACAAATGGCCATGAAGTTAAGCACAATGCTAATCACCCATATCTGTAGGTCTAGAAATTAACCACCCCCAAGGCCAACTGGATTTCACATTCAGTCAAAGCTACTCTACATTCTTCAGCTGTAGTGAACTAACACTTGTGTATTGGTGTCTGTATATTCCCTTTCCAAAAGCCATGTCTCTGCTTTGTAAATTACATGCTCTATACCCAGGTATAATCTAAACCCAGTTACTGTATTTCATCAAATCTAAGATATATATTTTAAGTACCAGTTTAAAAAAAAAGTGCTGCCAAGTATGATTATAACACACCATCTAGTGTGTTAAGAACTATCACAAGGCTGGGTGTGGTGGCTCACACCTGCGATCCCAGCACTTTGGGAGGCTGAGACAGGAGGATTGCTTGATCTCCGGAGTCTGAGACTAGCCTGGACAACATGGTGAAACTCCACTCCTACAAAACATTAGCCGGGCATGGTGGTGCACACTATAGTCCCAGCTATCAGGAGGATCACCTGAACCCAGGAAGTTGAGGCTGCAGTGAGCTTTGATGGTGCCACTGCACTCCAGCCTGGCGGACAGAGATCCTGTCTCAAAAAAAAAAAAGAACTATCCCAATTTCATATATGTTAAAATGTAAAGGAAAAAAAAATGTCTTGGAATCAAAGAAATACAATCATATTTCAATCACCACAGCTGAAAACCATGCCAATAACCACATAAAGCCAATTGGACTTTAAACCTACCTGTGAATTCTTAGTTTACTTTTATTCTGAGAATTAAAGTCATAAATACATAATGTTGAGAACTTGGGGAATACAGAAGAGTATTATTAAGATGAAAATTAAGTTACTTGAAATTTCCTAACTATTAGTATTTTGAAATATTTCTTGTCTAGTCTTCATGTGCGCTCATTTCTACAAAATTGGGATCATGTTGTGGTAACAATTTTATATCTGGCTTTTCTGCATTTCATGTTATATCATGACCATTTGCCCATATATTTATTTTTACATTTTGTTTACTTTTTCTTTTTTTTTTGAGACAGGGTCATGCCCTGTCACCCAGGCTGGATTGCAGTGGTGCAATCATAGCTCCCTGCAGCCTCAACTGCCCAGGCTCGAGTGATCCTCTGATTTCAGCCTCCCCTGTGGCTGGGACTACAGGTGTGCACCACCATGCCTGGCTACTTTTAAAAATATTTTTTGAAGAGACAGGGTTTCACCATGCTTCCCAGGGTGGTCTCAAACTCCTTAGCTCAGTGTGATCCACCCACCTCGGCCTCCCAAATTGCTGGGATTACAGGTGTAGGCCGCCATGCCCGTGCTGTCCATATCTTTAAATAGTCTTCATAAATCACAGAGTTTTTAAATCAAGTTTACATACTTATAAGACTGAAATTCCAAACAATTTTTATCCTAAGAAACCCCAGTTTTGTCAGGCACAGTGGCTCACACCTGTAATCCCAGCACTTTGGGAAGCTGAGGAGGGTGGATCACCTGAGGTTAGGAGTTTGAGACCAACCTGACCAACATGGTGAAAACCTGTCTCTACTAAAAATACAAAATTAGCTGAGTGTGGTGGCGCATGCCTGTAATCCCACCTACTTGGGAGGCTGAAGCAGGAGAATAGCTCGAACCCGGGAGATGGAGGTTGCAGTGAGCTGAGATTGCACCTCTGCACTACAGCCTAAGCAAGAAGATCCAAACTCCAACTCCAAAAAAAAAAAAGGAAAGAAAACTTAGTTTTGATCATCTGGTTTTTCTTTTATTTCTCACCAAATTAACTGGTAACTGGTTTGGAAATGCTACATACCATTAAGTATTGAGTAGGGACTCAAAAAAAAAAAAAACCTTACTTGTTACTAACCTGGTAACACTGTTGCTTTCTGGCTGGGTTTCTTGCCACACCTAATTCGATATTCATTTATTGCATTTTCAATCTCCTGAAGCTTTTTCATTGCATCTGTGTAATCTTGCTTTCGCTTTTTCTTCACGGTTTTACAAAGGTCTGGCTCACTGGCAAGTTTCTTTGCAGCTTCCACCAGCTTTTGTTGTATTAGGAAATTACTCTCCAGCTCTTGCAAAGTAGGATCCTGCATTTATACAATGATAGCTTAATTTTTATAGACACTTACGACCAACTCTCACATGCATTGTGTAATAAAACTTCTTGTGGACTTTTTGAATCAGATGTTCTTTGAGAATACTATCTTCCCAAGTTTTACCACATAGACATCTCATTAGTCCAAACCTCTTCTCTTTTCAAGGACCCTTCCTTGCGTCTTTCATTCCTTTAGTTGGTTGGGTCAAGATCACAGTTTTCACAGATATATTCTTAACTCAAAGCTCATGGATGCAGAAGGTTATATTCATATGCATAGCTTTAGAGGCAGATAAATTTGGGTTTGACCTTCTTTCTGGTGGTTTCTGGATACATTGCCTAGAACCCTGTGCCCAGAACTGACACACAGCTTCATCTTTTAATGGTTCAGTTTTTTTTCATTTGTAAAATGAAGATAACACCTACATTATGAAAGAAGGTTGAAGATTAAATGAGATAATATATGTGGATTGCTTAGCTCAGAGATAGGTACGTAGTGAGCACTCAATAAATAGCAAAGATTTTCAAAGATGGGAACAGCTATAATTTTCTAAAGCTAAGATGGTCAAATTTCTACAAGAAACATAGATACAGTCATATTGACTGATGACATGCAAATGAGAAAGTATTATACACTCTATGTTGGCTAACAAATGTTTGATCTTGATTGTAGCTCAGTGCTGTGCATGTATTAGCTCATTTAATACTCACTGGATCCCTTGGAGGGAAGTCCAATTATTACCCACATTTTACAGATGAGGAAAACTGAGGCCTGAGAAATGAGACTTAAGAGAGGCTAAACTATTTGCTATTATTTAGTTTTAAGTACATGAACATAATGCTGCAGTTCTTAATTCTTAAAATGCTGCCTCTCAATTGAGAAACATTTGGAGTTTAATTAAATGCTGTCTTTGATTTGGGGAGTAAAGTAGCAAAAAGTAACTCAATTTTGACTGGAGTGGGGATGAAAGAAAGAATTCAATTTGGTCTACAGGGTCCATCTCTATTGGTGAGATAACATACAGCAGAGACTCAAAAACCAAAGGAAGAAGCACACTATACTCAGACGGCTTTCCTGTCTCATGATTAATTGAAAGTCTCAGAGACGTCGTTCATACCTCTTCACTCGGCAGCAAGTTGTCATCTAATTTGAACGCAGTACCTACACGTCTTCTGACCTGAGGAGGCTTCTCGCCTATGTTCAGGGGATACTCCTTTGGCATTTTGCCTGTAAGCTCCTGTAAAACAGGACAGAATTAAGAGCATATAATTGACACTGGTCAAAGTTGTCAAACGCAATTTCATAAGCAGAAAAAAGCAGACTCACAGCCTCCCGCAGACAGATCTTCTTAAGCTCTTCAACTTTTTTCAGAAGTTTTTCTTGTAACAGTTTCTCCTTCTTTTTTAGTTCAAGGATTTTCTCTCTCTTTTGCTCCTCACTAACTTCTGAGTCTTGAGAACCTAGGGAATGGGGGAGGGGCAGGGAAGGTTTATACAAGGCATGTTTCCTTCCTTTCCAAAGGACAAAGGGTTTTTCAGCTAAAGTTGCTTATTAAATGGTAGTTTATTTCTTTTCTCCTTGTTTCTCAACATAATAAAAGGAAACTGGAAAACATTTTCTCATTCTTCTGGGCATCAAACAGAACCTGGTAATAAAATGTGGCTTTTTGGATTCTGGCTCAGTCATTTTGAGGATAATGATAAAATGCTTAATGTCCCAGACACACCCAAGGAAAATTTTCATTTTTCTGAGCAGAAGAGAAGGTAAGACGGTTCTTGAATAGTTGTTTCAAGTGTTCTTTTTAGAAAGTAAGGAAGCAAGGAAGGCCGGGCATGGTGGCTCATGCCTCTAATCCCAGCACTTGGGAGGCCAAGGCGGGCGGATCATGAGGTCAGGAGTTCGAGACCAGCCTGGCCAACATAGTGAAACTGCGTTTCTACTAAAAATACAAAAATTATCAGATTGTAGTGGCATGTGCCAGTAGTCCCAACTACTCAGGAGGCTGAGGCAAGAGAATCACTTGTACCCAGGAGGCAGAGGTTGCAGTGAGCTGAGATCACGCCATTGCACTCTAGCCTGGGTGACAGAGTGAGACTCTATCTCAGACAAAAAAAGAAAGAAGGAAAGAAAGAAAGTAAGCAGGCAAGGAAAAGAATAATCTGTGTGAAGGAAGATTCAGATTCACAAGCTGACAGTGAGATTTAGATGGGATGAATTATTTTAGTAAAGTTACATATACTTAATGATAAGAGATTCCAGAATTTTTACAGAGGAAGGGCTTAGGGTAAGCTATCACATTTGAATGGGTATGCTTGTAATCATGTTTGTACAACATTTTATATTGCATGGAGAATTAGACAATTATCTGTATCAAAAACTAAATGCTGGGAAAAGCAGCTACTGCGGAAAATGGTCTTTGAAGTCACATGTCTGTACTCACCATCCTTGCATCTCATATTACATTTGACTTTCTATATATTCTTTAAAAAACTAGCCTTAAATTTTTATTCAAAGTTGTTGCATACATATTTATGGACATACTTATTTATTCCCAAAAGAATAGATTAAAAGATGAATTTAGAAGTGGTTTATGACCAAAGAAACAAATAAAATAAAGATGGCTTGCACGTTCTCTAATCCCAGCATGTTACCTGAGGAGATTAAACTGCCATTGCTTGCCATGATGAACTGACTTTTCGCCTCCAGTGTCACCAGCTTGGAGGCTCTCTGTGTTCCTGTCTCAGTCAAATCCATTGCAATCTCATCTAAACTCCTGGCTGAAGGAATTTTTGCCTAAGAGGTATACAACAATGAAACAGAATTAACTCAAACATACTTCAAATTCATAAAACAGTTAACATACAATAAAAATATCAACACAGGATAATTTAAAATTTTTGCATATTCAAGTGGGATCTTCAGACAATACACACACACACACACACACACACACACACACACACACAGCCTAAGTGTTGTACTTAAAATGTTTTAATAACTATGCATGATTTATCTGATGGTGTGGTCCAGTTACTGACTTTAAAATGTCATCAGCAACATCACCACCAGCAATGTCACCAGTATACGAACCTACCAGTACGTCACACATGCATGTCAAAAAGTTGACCAGTCTTACAACTTTTAAAGCAGCTTATATAATGCCTATCGTTTAAACATATAAAAAATGGAAACAGTTGGAAGTTGAAAACAACAAAATCTCAGAGAGCAAAAATGCTTGTGCTTGCATCTTTTCTAAGAAGGCTTATCTTCTGAACAGAATGCAAAAAAAGAATCTGTCCCTACAGAAATGCTGCCAGTTACTTACTTTGCTTTGCTTCCGGTCCAAGTAAAACTGATGCTGACTAATTGCCATTACCCAAATGGACTTGATGAGAGAAGAGTTAGCATACCATGTTTGCACAAAGAGGCCACTTTGCCCAAAGGTTCTTCTTGACACTGAAATCCTGAAAGATTTAAGAAAGCACTCAAATACTTCCCCTCCAGGCCAGCATGATGTAAAATATACCCTGTGAGCAGCATTGTAACAAAGTATCTTCCTCTTACTTGTCTTTCTGTTATAAAAATGCTTATGCAAATGAGGACCAAGTTTCTGATTTTCTCCTTTTACATCAAAACAGCTCAGAACTAAGTAATCGCTTTCTGGATAAACAGCATGTTTAAAAACACATACATGTGAATTCAAAAGCTGATAAGAATCAATCAAATTAGAGATTGTACAAAAACATTTAGTTAGAAACTCTAAGGATGTGCAGCCATCACAAGAGATTAGAAATAAACGGGATAAGATTTTAAAGATACAGCAACTAAGTGTGGGATGAGCACCTAATTCAAGGTAAAAGAGCATCTCAGATCTAGGTAGATTTGGCTGGCTATGACATTATCAGAGAATGCACTTAATGATAATGCCTGAAACTATGCAAGTCCAAAACTCTCCAGAGTGCTTGCTGCTTGTACATCAGATGGAAAGAGGAAAGGGGAGGGGGGAGGAGAAAGGAGGAAGGAGAGGAGGAGGGAGGAAGGAAGGAGGGAGGGGAGTAAAAGAGAGAACGTGTAAGAAGCAGACAGACTGTGTGTGTGACACGGTACTAATGTTCTTTGTAAGAATTTGGCTTATCTCTTCGGGTCACCTTTTGATCACAGGTATTTCCTCCCATCACTCTGGCCTTCAAACATCTATAACCATCTTGGGATTGAAAAGTACCCACTAAGGACTGATTAAGAATTTCTTTTAAGGCCTGACATGCTGGCTCAGCACTTTGGGAGACGAACATATGGATCACCTGAAGTCAGGAGTTCGAGACGAGCCTGGCCAACATGGTAAAACACTGTATGTACTAAAAACACAACAATTAGCTTGGCGTGGTGGTGCATGCCTATAGTCCCAGCTACTTGGGAGGCTGAGGCATTAGCATCACTTGAACCTGGGAGGTAGGAGGTAGAGGTTGCAGTGAGCCAAGATGTGCCACTGCACTGTAGCCTGGGTGACAGATTGAGACTCTGTCTTGGGGCAAAAACAAAAAAAGAATTTCTCTTAAGATATATAAGAATCCACATCCTGGCCGGGCGTAGTGGCTCATGCCTGTAATCCAAGCACTTTGGAGGCCAAGGTGGGCAGATCACTTGAGGTCGGGAGTTCAAGACCAGCCTTACCAACACGATGAAACCCCGTCTTAAAAAAAAAAAAAAAAAAAAAAAAAAAAAAAAATCCACATCCTGACTTCAATTCATGTTGATAACTTGTTTTTTTTTTTTTTTTTAAATTAATGACCAGGAAGACCAACATTTTAAACAAGAAAAAGATCTGAATAGACATTTCTCTACTAACAATATATGAATAGGTAAGAAGCACATGAAAAGATGCTCAGCCATCATTAGCCATGAGGGAAATGCAAATCAGAACCACAAGAAGGTACCACTTCAACCCACTAGGATGGCATACACACACAAAACTAAAAATAACAAGTATCAGGACATATACTGCTGGTTGGGATGTAAAATGGTACAGTACTTTGAAAAGCAGCCTTGCAGTTCCTCAAAGGGTTAAAAATAGTTACCAACTGACCCAGCAATTCCACTCCTAGGTATATGTCCAAGAGTCATGAAAACATATGCTTATACAAAAACTTGTACACAAATGTTGATAGCAGCAGCATTATTTGTATAGTAACTGGGTCATACAGAGAAAAGTCCTTGATCCTCACCTTCGTGGATCATGAACTTCAACAGCAAATTTTTTCTCACGGAAATATAAGTTCTCCAGCTGTTTCCATTGGAATAACTAAAGAAAACAGAAAACCCAGTGTTATTTATCCTTATTTTTACTAAGTCTATAAATCAGCTTAATAATCAAAATACTATAAGCTCCAAGAAGGTACACGGATAATGATGAAGCATGAATATGTGATTCAGCCTTTTTACAAATCAACTATGACCTGAAACCATTTTATTCCTTCTTCTGACAGCAATCTTTAACTATTAAGAGTCACCTCTCCAATACATCTTCCTTGAACAGTAAAACCAACCATCTGTGGAAGAACATGTACACTGTTTTTCCTCTGACTCAACTATACAGTTGGAAATAAGGAAATCTGCACAGATTCCAGTAAGCACCAGCCTTCTCAAAGATCTTGGTTTCATAGTTCAATGGAAAGATATTCAAAGGGATGTTTCAATAACATCTAAGATTGAATTTCAAAAGAATGCAAAGTGAAAGTAAAACGGAACCCTCATGCAGGGGTGATTCTCCAAGATACCAGTTTCCTACCTATGAAGAGAGTTCCCCTAAATGCCACAGAAACCTAGCAACAGTAACTGGGGGCAGAGAGCTGGTAGGAGGGAACACCAGAGCCTCTTCTTGGTTTCTGAGCTAGAACCACCAGTTTTTGAACATAGCTCCCAATCTCTGTACACTCTGATATACACACTACTGATACGCTATTGCTGCACCCAGTGCTGTCAGTCGACTGGGAGAAACAAACTTTCCTAGCAATGTGGATTTGAAAACCGAATAATTTGAGAGAAAGCAGCTCATTCACAGAATCAAGGATGCCTTGCTATGTTTACTGGGCTGCTTCCTAAGCTCTTTACAAGATAGGCTATCCTGAGCCTTAGTTTGTCCTGTCAACTTGGACTTCAGGGTTGAATTCCTCTTCTCTGTCCCCAGTCTGGATTAGGGAAATACGAATACAGAGATTTAATTCCATTATTAGACTTCGGCTGGATTTTAAAATTATGTGCGAATAATTTTAAAAGATTATTTTTAATAGTCTAAATAATAAGCACTTCTCTGCATTGCACTATCAGCAAAACCATTTCCTGACATGCGGGAACCCAGACTTTTCACAAACATGTAAACCTTATCACGTAAAGGAACAAAATGAGCTGAAGGTTTCTATGCATATGCAGGCATGGGAAAAAAGTGTTTAGACTGGACTCCCCGATTCCATACAGAGTGAAATAAACCAGCATACCCTAACAACACGGCCCTCCGTGGTCCACTCACATCGCTGTCTGTAACTACAACATTCACTCAGGTTCAAAGAGGAATTAATAAAAGTATAAAGCTACATACCAATTTCTTAAAATCTCCATAAACTTGAGCCTTTCATTTCTTTAAATCCAGAGGTTCCAAAAATGGGACAGAAATGTGAGGGAAAACCTTAGGGTTCTTCTGACCTCCCCACTTCCAGACGGCAGCTCCGGTGAGTTCTGAACTGAGTTTCATAAGACACTTAGGTGTAGCTCAATTTCACAAACTGAGCCTCCCACGGCTGACACACTACTGACATCAGCAACTCTACTGAGTGACACCTCCCTAATTCTATTTCTTCCTCCCATAATAGAGAGGGGGACAAAGTTCTCAGGGCAGATTTTCCCAGAAAAGAGACCTTTCTAAAATGGGGGGCAGTTGGGATTTCCCTGATACTTCCTGGGAAGTAAGTTGCTTTGAATCCAAGGACAAATTTCACCGGAGGCTGTTTGAGGAAGACATTTCTGCCCTAGTTTACTCACCCTGGACATGAACAGGTTCTACAGGAAGAGTTACAATGCAGCTCAGCTGTGTTTTCCTTTGCGTCCATTCCCACACACATAAAAACCGGTGCTGGACGTGAAACATGATCTCTGAAAACCACCACCTCTCCCTCTTATCACTTACAAATGTGAAACCCTAGCGCTTTGGACTCCATTCAGCCTGCCCCTGCATTGAGAGCAAATATGCTCCCTGCAAGCAAAAACTCTACTGAAAAGGTGAAGGATTTCAGCTTGCTTAGAGAATTTGAAATAATTAGATAGTAACTGGGTTTACACAAGGTTATGGGAACAAGACTGGGTTTTAAGTATGAAAGGCAGAGAGCAATTCATTTCCCCTCCCGTAATCTTAAAACTTGGTGTAAAATATAATTTCATATATGTGCATATAATAGTATAAATGTGAATTGTAATGATACAAAATTCCGTGGTTGCTTCTGGGGGCAGATGGCATGAAGTGTAAGCTATAAAGAAACTTCAATATCATTAGCAATGTTTTCTCTTATTAATAAAAATAAGATGATGTAAATACGACAAAATATTAGTAATATCTATTTAAGTGGTTTTACAGGTATTATCATATTTTTGGCACTCTTGTGTATTTCTCAAAATTAAAATCATAAAAGTTTATGTAAAATGAATATAGGTTGGTCTGTTTTATACAAGAGTGAGATTTTCACCATCCAACCAGTTGGGAGGTCCGTGTTTTAAACATTAAATATTATTGCCATTGTGATTCTTTTTAATGTTTGAAGTTGCTAGGAAAATATTTCTAATTGTAGTGGCACTTGATCTAGCTGACAGCTGGATAAAAGCTGGTTTTTCTTTTGAAATTGCTGAAATCAGTAACACTTTCTTGTGCTTGCATGAAAAAGAAAAAAAAAGAAGAAAGAGAAATTGTTGAAATCATTCTCCTATTGTGTTTTTTATTTCTGGATTCTCCATATCTGAGGGCCAGGATGCAGCTATAAAAATGGCAATGGAGCTGAGGTGAATTCATTTGCTGAAAGATTGCTCATACACCCTGCCTCAGACAGCACCTGGCACAGAGCAGGCAATTGATCTATGTTCATTTCCCTCCCTTTCTCCAGTGTTTATCTTAGAAGATAAATAAATAATTTTGACCTCTCTGGTCAAAATAATGAGGGGGCCGGGAGCAGTGGTTCGGCTGGGCACAGTGGCTCATGCCTATAATCCCAGCATGTTGGGAGGCTGAGGCGGATGGATCACTTGAGGTCAAGAGTTCCGGACCAGCCTGGCCAACATGGTGAAATCCATCTCTACTAAAAATACAAAAATTAGCTGGGCATGGTGTGAGAGCCTGTAATCGCAGCTACTTGGGAGGCTGAGGCAGGAGAATCACTTGAACCTGGTAGGCGGAGGTTGCAGTGAGCTGAGATCGCACCACTACACTCCATCCTGGACAACAAGAGCAAAAATCCATCCCAAAAAAGAAAAAAAAAAAGTCATGAAGGGATTTCAGACCAATGGAAGGAGAAGGGGATATTGGTCAAAGAAATATCCACAGGCCAACCTGACTTGTTGGGACTTCTGCATGAAAGAAATAGCCTATCCCCCATATAATAAGGGATACCCAAAACGGCCTGGAAGATAAAGAAGGGTTGCAAAGAAAACATTCTGTATTTGAGGAAAGAGATCAAAGTTTAAAAGAAGGTACAAGGAAGTTAAATATGTTTCCCATTTTCTATTATTTGGACAATATTAGTGTCCACAGAGGGTAGGACTATTACAGGATATAGTATCTTACAGGGTAGAACTATTACATATGTGTGTGTGTGTGTGTGTGTGTGTATATATATAAAATATATGCATGTGTGTGTACATGTACACTTGTAATTTTCATATTAAAACAAAAATATACTTTGCCCAGGTCAAAATTTTCACTCTTGGAGATTAACAAAAAACAAAAAAAGAGGAGCTTTATTTGTCTTGCAATACAGTTGAGAGTGTGAACTGGAATGTTTTCTAAAATGATAATTATATAAGCATAATAATAATCCTTGGTGAGTATTTATTATTGTCTATGCGGCACTACTAGAAGCTACAAGTTTGAAAACTATGTTGTTTTTAGATAAAATCTATGCTGCTACTGATGAAAGGGAAATAGTTGTAAGGTGAAAATAAAACTATAAATTAGGTCTCTGGAGATTTCTTTCTAGTCTACACTCATCTTGAATGATTAGTTGTGCCTTTGGTATCAAAAGAAGGAAGTAGAGAGTGACTGAAGAATAATACCTGGGATTACTTTGCAATTGCAAAAGTAAATAGACAGAGGGATAAAATATTAAAAGAGGAGCAACATAAATAACATTAACAGAGATAATCAAGAAATTACAACAGGAGGAGAATATATCTTAAGGTTACAAATCTTGTCTTCAAAGAAATAAAGTATCAAAGAAAAACAAAACAAAAAAATAAATAAGTGTCAAAAACTTAAAACTGACCCAGAAAATCATGGTGGAATCAAATAGCATTTTGAAAGTGAACCGTATACTATTATAATCACAAGAAATTCCATTAATCCTAAGATTAAGTAAAAAAAAAGTGTTGATGGTTTTAGAATAATTTGCTGCACATGATTACACTTTGTTTAATGAAATGAATGTGTTGAATATTTAAGCCACTTAGTTGAAATCTATAATCAATATTTAGATTCTACCCACTTTTACAGACTTAAAGAACCAGAAGAAATCACCTCTGCCCTGTCCCACCCCATATTACAATGGTTCCTAAATATCTGAGGGTACTGTCAAACTTTAGCAAAAAAATACTATAAGGAAAAGCAGAGGGACCTTTAGGAGACAGGGCACTTGTACTTCAGATATGTATTTCAGTAGCTTTGGGAGTCATTTATTCATTCCTTTTCAATCAACAGATATTTCTTGAGTGCCTTATATGTTCAAGGTCTTGTTCTTGTCAGCAAATAATGGACAGAGCCCCTCCATTGTGGTACTCACAAGAACCAAGTCAGATTGCCTTGGTTAGCATTCTGGTACTGTCACCTACAGCTGTGTAATATTCGACACGGTTCTTAACTTTCCTGAGTCTCAGTGTCTGCATCTGTAAAATGGGACTATCAACACTTACCTCAGAGTTGTCGGAAGTGGTCAGGGAAACTATGTCTGTCAAGCACTTAGCCCAGTGCCTGGCTTAGAATCAAAATTCAGTAAGTGATAAAGTCAGCTATATTTTTAATAAAGAACTCTCAGTTCACCTCTCCAATTTTAT